ACAAGTCCATCTTGTGTTGAGTTGCAAAGTCACTGCACCCTTATCAAATTTAAATTTCTCTCCCAAGGGAGCCTTAGAGCTGAAATTGCCATTGTGGTGAAGTTAGCATAGCAGCTCAGATTCTCTGTTGACCTCTTCTTTTGGCAATGTGTGTGCTCATGTGTGTGGTTTCCTGGTTGGGTATGGATGCATCGGCATTATGCTGGCCAGAAGAGGGAGAATGATTAGGTCATCTGATTCAAGTTCAACTCTCTTATAGATGCCTTTTCTGGATTGGCGAGTCCTGCGAATTGCTCATCTACCAATGTTAGGCTAGAAATAGATAACCACTAGCTGTTTGTGCCTCTACTGAAACAGATGTGCCTGTGTCAACTGTGTAGCTCCAAAATAGGAGGTAGATTATAAAATTGGAGTTTGCTGCATGATTAATTTGTAAGTGTTGCTTCATTGTTGTTCTTTCTTTTCACGTGATATTCAACAAAACGGGTGCTACAAATTTTGGCTGTTATTTCCAGATTGCTTCTTCGAATCCAAATTGAGATATTATTCCTCGACAGTTAACAAAATTAGATGCCAGGCCTAGGGGTGGATCCCATAGTTCCCTTCTCGCTACAGCATTGACCGGCGAGTATTCACATCTACATTTTAGGCAACTTCGCATAAAGCATACTCTTTTTCCCCTTTAATGCAATAATCCGTGGAGGATAAAATGCAATTGACACGATCTAATCAATTGCATGTTTCCTGCTACTGTTTCAGGCGTGGAAACTGCATGAGAAGGGAGACTTAGTGCAGTTGGTGGACGAATCACTGAACGGTGACTGTGATGTTGAAGAGGTCTGTAAATACATGAAGGTGGGCCTTCTCTGCACACAGGACTTGCCAAAGCTACGGCCAACCATGTCGACTGTGGTCAAAATGCTAACTGGGGAGGTAGATGTTAATGCAGAGAAGATTTCAAGACCAGGATTGCTTTCTGAGTTCATGGGCATTAAAGTAGACCTCGGCCATACGACCACCATGGACAAGCCAAACATAGGCGACCCATCGGACTCAGTAGGCACTGGGAAGCCATATAACTCATCTTCCTCTTCAGAAGACATAACCACTTCATATGCTACAATGACCTTCAATTCAATATATGACCGGAGTAATTGAGAACGGCCACGTAGATACGATAACATCCCAATCGTTAGAGCCCTTGTAGATCGAGATGGAATAGCACACTCCAAATGGATGCCATTTTCGTTTTGCTGACGCGAGAAACTTCCGGCACTGTAAATCCTTTACATCAGTCAAATTCCCTTAATTTTTTTTTGTTTGTCTCTCCAAATATAGATATCTTAGCCAGAGTTGTATGATGATCATCCAAAATTTTTCCACTATCTAGAATATATGAGCGGACCATTCTCTGTGAAGTAAACATGCTTATGTCGCGGGATAATGCTTGAGATCGAGATTGTGCGCACTCTTATTTATACAAGAGTTACTCTCATTACAATCGTAAATTTCCTCTGGATCTTGCTTTTGAGATTACATCTCCTTATTTATTAACTACCGATATTTAGGACAAGAATACTCTAGAATATGGTACATTTACCGTATCGTTCGTCCCTGAGAGGACTTCGAAAACCCTAGGAGACTGGCCCAACTTGATCGTCTTGAATTGTAAATGGTCTCTTGTACATAAAAAAGGCCGGGAGTATGACAACAAATCAGAGTCTACCTTAACCAATCGCTTTAGTTTGTAGTTTCTTTTATGTGTTGTTTAACGTTAAGCACATAGGATACCCATATTCCTAGTAGGAAAAATAGCTCCCTTTTTCATCAGGCTTTCAATGACAGCTTTGAGCTAATTTTGATTGTCTTCGGTTCGAATTTAGGTTTTTCTTAATAAATTAATGTCTCTTGAATCTCCGTCTCATCAAATCCGTCCTAGTAAAAGATTTCTTATATTCATGTCGGATCAATATTTTGATTGACAAAAAAGGTTGCAGGAGGTGATCAAAATGTTTCGTCTACTTTTGATTGTCGCATTTGGTTTTTCAATTTCATTTGCTTTGACACCATTTGTTTGGCGAAAAATGAGTGATTTTCTTTTCAAAATGATCGCTTAAACGGAGCCTTAATGTCATTCACTGTCCGATTGCTGATGATTTTATTTTCGATGCACTATTAATTTAACTTTGGTTCACCTGAGAGATTAGTCAATCACGAATAGTATTGAAAAAGGTCACTTTTTATTCAAAATGTATGACATGATCGTTCGTTCAAACAAAATGAGGTCGAAGTAGAGCTTCGAATCGTGGGCCGAAAACAAAAGACCAAATCCCAGGTCAAGTTCAAAATGCGTGCCCACTAGCCAGTTTCTTATATCTAATGCAATAAGGACACTCTTACGCAATGGATACTGAGATTAGTTTGTCCTAGTGAACATCTATTCGACTATTTTTTCTATGTGGAATTAACGACTCTGCTTTGTTTTGAATTTGCTGGATTGTCGGCATTTGTAGAATGATGGACTCGGCATTTCAGCTTATGTGTTTCCCGGGTATTCTTTGCATGTCTGATCTCTCCAAATTCGAATTCCTTCTTATTTGAATGTCCATATGTTTCATCCATCCAAAACATTAGAATGTACACATATAAAGAGTTGCCTGTGGCAATTGAAGGCTTTAGTCAAAGACAATAAAGTTGGAGAGGGGGTAATGAACACCATACTTCGTTTGCTTTAGTCCAGACAACAAAGTAACGTAGATCTTATCCCGTAAACCGATAATGAACTCTACTAGCTTGACTGGCAATGAGCACATATTGTGTGTGATGATGGAAAACCATACTTCATTTGCTTTTGTTTTCCTATAAGAAGCGAAGTAAAACTTGCTTGCAGCTTGTTCTTACATTTTAGATGCTCGATGTACCAATTAGGTCCCAGCTCATGGTTGAAACCAGATAGGTATAAAAGTCACAACTTGGATTTGTTTCACATAAGGTTAAGTTTCATTAGTTATATGCCACCGGAATTTTTGGTGAACTGGTTCAGAGCCGGTGGAACCTTCTTGGTGAAACAGCTCATGGTTGACATGATATTCAATAAAAGGGGTGCTACAAATTTTGGCTGTTATCCATGCTAACCTACTTCATCGAATATTATTTCTCGAGAGTAAACAAAAATTAGACGCTAGGCATGGAGTGGATCCATTACCCAGTGAATATCACATGTACATTTTAGCAACTTTTGTAGAAATACACTATTTTTTCCCTTTAATGCAATAGTCAGTAGAGGATAAAATACAGTTGAGACGATCTGACAATTACATGTTTCCTGCTATTGATTTAGGCATGGAAACTGCCGGAGAAGGGGAGTTAGTCCAGTGATGCATCACTGAACGGTGACTGTGATGTTGAGGAGGTCTGTAGATACATGAAGATGGGTCTTCTCTGCACACAGGACAAAGCTACGGCCGACCATGTCGATTGTGGTCAAAATGCTAATTGGGGAGATAGACGTTAATGCGGAGAAGATTTCAAGACTGGGGTTGCTTTCCGAGTTCATGGACATTAAAGTTAACCAGGCCGTACAACCACCGCCGACAAGCCAAAGGCAAGGACTTGAAGTAGTATGACTCATCTCCGTCTTCAGAAGACATCACCATTTCATATGGTATAATGAGCTTCAATTCGATATATGACCGGAGTAATTGGGAACGATCATGAGGATACGAGAAACTGTAGACTCTATATTGGAGTAGGAAACTCCAATCAAGCCATTTTCGTTTTGCTGATGCGAGAAACTTTCAGCATCCTAAAACCTTTAGGTCAATCAAATTCTTCTTCTTTTTTTGTTTGTCTCTCCAAATATAAATAGCTATCCTGTACAAACATGCTACTAGGGACGAGATCATCAATAGTTATATTAAGATGCTTGCGTAGACTGTTGGAAGGTCAGTGATTTCAGCTTGTGGTCTTCTATTTGTTAGCTAGGTTGTGTTCTATGTGGCAATTTGTTTGTTTGCCGTTATTATGGTTGTCGATAAAATGGTAACAACGCCTCTACCTACGCTATTCATATCACCATTTCATTGACAACCATAATAACGTAAATAAACAAATTGCCAATACAACCCTAGCAAACAGATGAGACCACAAGCTCAAATCACTGACATTCCAACAATCTGCGTAAGCATCTTAATATAAATATCAACAATCTCATTCCTAGTAGCATCGCCCTCCAACAATCTGTGCAAGCGTCTTAATATAAATATCAATGATCTCATTCCTAGTATGATCGCCCTTCGGGTTCTCCACCGGAAAAAAAGGAGCAATTTTTCCTATTGGGAAATCTGGGTATTCCTAGCTAAGGTAGACTCTAATTTGTCACTCCCAAGCACGTTTGTAATTCACCAAAAATAGCCTACTTGTATTTTTCGAAAAATGCTTTTCAAATTTTGAGTTTTCCGTGAAACAAACGATTTTTCTTAATAAATTCATGTCTTGACAAGAATTTTCACTCTTTCAATCTTATATTGTCATATCCGTACCTAGTAAAAAAATTTGGTGTTTGCGACGGATCAATATTCTGATCAACAAAAAGGGCGGGGTGATCAACGCGGGGTTATCAAATTTCTTCCCAATAGTGGAGATTGCATCTCTCCATTTACCAACTACCCGCATTTATTACAGAAAATGCTTTAGAATACGGTCCAATTACAATATTGCCCGCCCTTTGGAAAATTCTAGAAAACACTAAAAAGGCTCGCCCGGTCTTCTTGGATCGTTCACGGCCCTCCGATCATGGGAAACCTCCGGTCCGTGACCCTAAAGTAGTAGCGGGCCAAATTTTACCGGCCCGATTTTTCGTTTTGGTCTTTTGGGCCGGTGCATTCCCTGACAGCCCAAGGGCATTTACGTAAATAGAAGATAAATAGAAAACCTAAAATGCCACCCTTTGCAATTCCCCCGATAACCCGGGGGCATTTACGGATTCCTCGACATAAAATCCCCTCGAAGAGGCGAAGAAGGCCCTGCGATTATCGCTCTTCTCGCTCCGTCAGTCATCGTCCCCAAAACTCAGGGTTTTAGAGCGCGCATCCAAAACCCTAACCATGGCGACTCAGCTCTTCTTCACCCGCTCCCTCCTCCTCTCCAAGCCTCAGCAAGCCCTCGCCTCCCTCCTCTCTCGCTCCCTCTCCTTCTCCTCCGCTCCCGCCGCCGCGCCTCGCTCCCATCTCTCCCTCCTCCCCTCCCTCCTCCGCCATCGCCTCCGCCCCCTCCTCTCCGTGGCCTCCGCCGACTTCCGCGGCCCCGCCGCCGCGGCTCCGTACGCCCGCTCTTTCGCGACGAGGTCGACTTCTTCGTCGCTCAACGATCCGAACCCCAACTGGTCGAACCGCCCACCGAAGGAGACGATACTGCTCGACGGTTGCGACTTCGAGCACTGGCTCGTCGTAATGGAGAAGCCGGAGGGCGATCCTACTAGGGATGATATTATCGATAGTTATATTAAGACGCTTGCGCAGATTGTTGGAAGGTCAGTGGTTTGATGATATATCAGGTTGTGTTCTGTGTGGCAATTTGTTTGTTGTTTGTTGTTTGTCGTTATTTTCTCTGCGTGTATTCTGTATCGCCATCGGTTGGCCGGAGGGTGAAATGAGTGGCTAGAGGTGAAATGATTAATTGTTGTGGTCAAGAACAATAAATATATTGGTTGAATTTTCAATCCGATTTTAGTATGAGTTTTGCTGTGATTAGAGTGTTTCAGCTCAAAGTTGATTCTTTATTCTTGCTTTATGTGGCAAGAATGATATGTAAGGATGATTGGGTTTGTTTTTTCTTTCAGTGCCACATGTGGCATATGTGAACACTTGCTGGTCTGATAGTTACTTTGAGAACGCCTTCTGTGCGAATGGTTCTTGAAGTGATAGTCGTTCCCTGTAGTGATTGATTATCTTGATTTATTGCTGTCCCTTTTATTTTGTCGAACCACAATTTTTTACTCGCTATTACAGTGAAGAAGAAGCCAGAATGAAGATCTACTCAGTTTCAACAAGGCACTATTATGCATTTGGAGCACTTGTATCTGAAGAGCTTTCTTACAAGCTCAAGGGTAAAGCTTTCTTGATTGGTTTTCTTTTGCTTCTCTTTTTGGAAAGTTCTGCTAATGAGTTCTGTTTTGTTACACAGATTTGCCTAGAGTTCGATGGGTTCTTCCTGATTCATACCTGGATGTCAAGAATAAGGATTATGGGGGTATGAAATCTTGATCTTCTAACTCTGCAATGAATTTGCATCCTGTGGATTACATCCTCTTGTTTATGAAAAGCGCTGCTAAAGTTTTGATTTGACTGCTTTGTTGACCTCATCATGAGGCAATTGTGCTGCTGAGGTTTTTTTTCTTGGCTGACTGTGCTTGCTTGACTATTATATGGATAGATATTGCACCTGATCTGTTGTGTTAATTAGTATTTTAATATAGTGATTTAGGCATGAATTGTTTAGCAGATAAGTTTGCTTAATGGAAACATGTTTTAGAAAGATAAAAATTCGATTCAACTGCAAATCTAGCGAAATTTGGCTTTGCGATGGACAAAAATGTCATGCTTTGCCTTTATGGTTCCTATATGAACGAGTCGAGTTTATGTAGCAGCATGAGGCCTACTTGGTCTTGCGAAAGGTAATCCTTACTGTAGGTATTATTATCATCTGCCTTTGCACTCAGCAACTCAATCAAGACCTAGCTTTATTCTATTTTACTTTTTAATACTTATTGTTCATTAGAAGCCATATATCAGTCTCAAATCAAACAAGCGAATTTGGTATATCCCATTGTGAAATTATTGCCTCTCTCTTTCATGCAATCTCTTGTTGATGTCACAATGTGTTTTTTCCACATTTGTCAGGAGAACCTTTTATTAACGGGCAAGCAGTTCCTTATGACCCCAAGTACCATGAAGAATGGGTGAGAAATAATGCTCGAGCTAACGAGAGGAACGGGCATAATCGTCGACCCCGTGATTTCAACGGATCGAGGAACTCTGAAAGGAGGGAAAATATGCAGAATAGAGATTTCCAAGCCAGAGACATGCCACCTATGCATAACCAAGGGATGCAGAACCCTCCACCTCAAGGCAACATGCCTCCACCAAATATGGGTGGTGGAATGCCCCCACCGAGCAACTTTGGTGGGATGCCTCCGCACAACCAAGGTGGAATGCCCCCAAGCAACTATGGTGGGATGCCTCCACGTAACCAGGGTGGAATGCCACCAAACAATTTTGGTGGGATGCCTCCAAACAACATGGGTGGGATGCCACCACAAAACAACATGGGTGGGATGCCTCCGCAAAACAACATGGGTGGGATGCCGCAAAACAACATGGGTGGAATGCCACCACAAAACAACATGGGTGGGATGCCTCCGCAAAACAACATGGGTGGGATGCCTCCGCAAAACAACATGGGTGGGATGCCACACCAAAACATGGGCGGAATGCGGCCCCAGAACAACATGGGCGGAATGCCGCCCCAAAACAACATGGGAGGAATGCCGCCCCAAAACAACATGGGTGGACCGCCGTCAAATAGCATGGGTGAGAAGCCACCTCAGAGCAATATGGGAGGGATGCCTTACAACAATATGGGTGGAATGCCACCGCAAGACATGGGGGCTGCTCAGAATGCTGGAGGCTTTTCACAGAATCAAGGATGGTCCAATACCATGCCTCAAAGAGATGCTGGGAATATGCCAAACTATCAGAGCCAGAATTACACTCCTAGCAGGGACCCGTCAACTGTACCGGGTGGAAATGCTTATTAGGTCTAGAGTGTTGGCCTAGAGAAAAAACTTGGATCGCCGGTCATGTGATTTTGATGTATAGCTAAAACGGATGGACCTGCCTGATGTATGCTTTATTTGCTGCTCTTAAACTTCCAATTTCATTTACTTCGTTTGGATTGGTGCATGAGTCTAATATCTGTGCCTACTCAATGCAAGGTCAACCAGGTTGCATCAAGAGACTAGGAGATGGCTGTGTTGAGGAAGTGTCTACATTGCACTTTTGCAGTTGATCCTTTCTATCTATGACTTCTTCTCATTGCTCGGATTCTCAGTGACATTATTTTCGATGGCTGTATTCGTTTTGTGGGAAACGCTGCCCTCTATACTTTTGAGTTCTTGTTAAGCTATAAATTTTCCTGTGTGGCTCTGGATGATATTCGTTTTTTGAGGCGAGACTCTTGTGAGAGCATACAAGGGAAATGAATGTATTCATCAGTAAAGGGAAAGAACTAGGCCTTAGAACAGAACAGGAAGATGACGTATTTGAGTCGTTAGTTTTCTTAGGTGTTGTCCTGTTCTTATGTGTAGGTGTCGAATGGGTTTACATGGATTATGTGAAGGCGAGAAAAAGCAAGAAACCACTGTCAGATGAAAAGGATAAAGAAAAAGGCACATGGGGACGACAGAAAATCTTCCCCGAAGTGAATCTGTTTTCAAATTGAGAATGCAAACAGGGAAAACTAACAATCGCCCCTGCCATGGACGTTTGTCTCATGTCCCGGCTTGGGGCATCCTTCTAGCGTCCTTATACGCCGACACGATGGGGGCGCTTCGGTTGTCAGCTTTGGAACGCGGTAATAAATCACGTCCCCGGTTTGAAGCAGCGACGGGTGTCGAGCAGCAATGAGAAATGAACGTTTTCGGGGAAAGTCCAGGGATGCTACTTAAACGTCCGACAACGGCGACCTTTTTCGCAACTCACCGTTTGATTCTCGCCAACATCAGAAATGGAGAAAGTTATGGGAGACCTTAAAAAACTTCCTCGGAAGCGCAAAGATTTTTAAAATACGTCTCTGTCCCGCATAACAAATGCCCCGATTTACATCTTTCCCGGAAGTGAACGATGGACGTCGTTCAAGGGAGAAAACTCTTCCATTTCTATGACTCAGTTGCTTAGGAAACAAAATGAAGAAAGGATATGTCGGAACACTTCTCTTACTCGCAATAGACAGAGTATATGAAAGAATTAGGTCGCACTATTTTGACAAGTTTCAAGACATTACCACCCTATTTGAAAGGTTTAATCGTGTAATAAATAGCAAAGTAATATAAGAAATATGAACTAAAGTTTGGAGCAGCTCCTTAAAATTTTCGAGAGATCTAATGGCCTCGCTTTATTGAATATTTCATTCATGACCATCAGATGCAACTTCAGGGATCTGTAAATGGGTAAATCTCGTATCTAAGTCGACAATCGATCAGCTGAAAAGTAGCCCCAATTCTTGAAGGGCATTCTTGTCTGATTAGACCAGCTGCAGCATTCAAACAAACGGAACAATCGTATATCGTAATCTCCCCATTGCACGCTCCATGGCCGTAAAAGGAATCAAGGGTCCGAGTATTGTTATCTTTTATCTGGAATGTGTTGTAGCACCTAAAACCCGAAAATGGAGTTTGTGTAAAGAGAACATGGAGAACTACTTCCAAGGCATTGTGGTAGTATGGCTCATCGCTTGACCCGCCGAACCCTTGGCTATAGCTAACGAGGACACCGCCGTCAGATCAGGAGGACATCCTGTGACCTTGTCATAAAAGATAGAATAACACAAGCACCAGAGTTGCAATCCGCTTGAAAGAACTCATCTTTTTCGTTTCTCCTTTTCTCGGTTCTCTTATCTTTCTCTGTAGAGAAGTTGCGGAATGTTGAAGGCTTGGCCCATGTTATATATAAGATGTTCTTGTTACTGTCCTTTCCCCAGTGGTAACAATTGCCATTAGAGATGACGGAGGAATCTACACTATCTAGTTTTTGTCGCACAATCCCAATTCTAGGGAATATTTTACTTTGGGAAAAATTATCATAATAGTTTGGAACTTATTACAATTGTATCAATTCAGTAGTAAAATTTTTTTTATTAAAACTTTTGCAATTTTGCCGTTTCAATCCATTTGGCCAATTTTGGTCGACCGGCGCTGATGTGGACGTCGGCCGTCTGGCCGACGTTGATGTGGCAATTTAAAAAAAAATTTGGAATTTTTTTCCTTTCTCTTTCTTTTTTTTTTCTTCCGGTTAGGGGCCATGGCCGGCAAGGTCGACCTCGCCTGCCACTGGTGGGCGATACTGGCGAGGGCAAGCCTCGCTGTCATTGGGCAAGATCGAGCTCGCGTAGCCATGGCGAGGCTCGCCCTCGATGGCCCTAGCCTCTAGTTGGTTTGGCGACCGGCCAATGGAGAAGGAAAGAGAAAGGAAAGAAAATAAAAAATACACAAAAAATTGCCACGTCAGCGTCGGTCGGTCGGCTGGCGTAAAGTTTTTTTTTCTGTTGATAATGAATTTCTATCAAATGCATTTATTTGTTCTTCCAAGGTTTTTCCTTCTTCTTGTTGCTACATATATCGTTTGTACATATCTATTCCATGTCAGTGGCTGCCGATCAAAATTGACGGGATGGACTGAAACGGCACAATTGAAAAAGGTTCAGGATTGAATTTGACATAATTGCAATACCTTTAGAACTGTTTTCATAATTTTCCTGGATTTTGATGTATAGCTTAAACGGGTAGAGCTGCCTGACGTGTGCTTTTATTTGCTGCTCTTAAACTTCCAATTGCATTTATCTAGTCTGGATTGGTGCATGAGTCTAATATCGGCGCGAGCTCAGTGCAAGGGTTTAGATTACGGTACAGGGTAATCAACCAGGTAGCATCAAAAGACTAGGAGATGGCTATGGTCAGGAAGTGTCTTCATAGCACTTTCGCAGTTGAAGAGTATTTCTGGACCTTTCGTCTACTTTATCTACGACTTCTTCTCATTGCTCGGATTCTCAGTGACCTATTACTTTCGATGGCTGTATTTGTTTTGTGGGAAACGCTGCCCTCAAAACCGTCGTTTTCTTGTTAAGCTATCAATTTTCCCGTGTGGTTCTCAAATAGTTTTTGACGCAAGACTCTTGCGCTCGCAGACAAAGGGTAGTGTGCGTTTTCATCAGTAGAGGTACGGAACAAGGCCTTAGAACAGAACAGAGAGGATGATGTGTATATATAGATTTTTTTGATCCGAGAGGATGACATATATTCACATAGAAGGAGGGAAGAGGAGATAAGCGAGCCGAAGCAGGTCCTCTTCCTCCATAGCATGGCCAAATTTTAGTTAGTGGTCTCGATTTCCTTCCTTGACTTCACCAGCTATACTCATGAGAGTGCCATTACCAAGTGGGAACTGCACTGTGCCTTACAAGAAATCACCGTTCACGAAGTGATTATATACATCGATTAGTTGTTAATTTTCTTGGTTTGGGATGACCTTATAATGTCTATTGACTCCATGGCAATGACGGAGAAACTCTATCGACAATAACCTGATCACCGCAGATTGGCCAGCGCGATGACTTTCTTTGCCTTCCAGACGAGTGACGCCTACATAAAGCACAAAAAATTGCTGCAGCCTTAAAGAGTGCCTTTACCAAGTGGGAACTGCACTGTGCCTTATAAGATATCACCATTCACAAAGTGATTATATACATCGATTAGTTGTTAATTTTCTTGGTTTGGGTGACCTTATAATGTCTATTGACTCCATGGCAATAACTGAGAAACTCTGTTGACAATAACCCGATAACCGCAGATTGGCCTGCGCGATGACTTTCTGTGCCTTCCAGACGAGCGACGCCTACATAAAGCACAAAAAAATTGCTGCAGCCGTCATTATTCAGATATTAACCTCAAGCATGACATGAGGAGTTGAGTGGTTTACAAGTTTCCCCTGGTCAACTCTTCCTTCTCATCTGCTTCACATAGTTCTTAAATAAGCGTTACTCTCATCTATTGCACCTGCTTACACCAGAGAGCACATAGCCAATGGGGATCGGCCAAAGAGGTGATGAGCTCGACGATGCGAAAGATGCCGAGAAGTCGATAAGAAAGAAGATGAGGAAGAAGCTCCGGAGCTGCCTCTGGCTCTGCTTCTCCTGCGTGGAGTTGGATTCGGTGGTCCCAGAGGACGAACAAAAAGCGAACTCGGTGTTGGAGCAGAAGACTTGCTTGCTCATGTGCTGTTCCGGCTTTGTAGTGAAAAAGAAGGGCTAAACTTGTTTTGTCTTTACACAATAAGGTGAAAGCTTATTACATATGTAAGGCTTCTGTTATCGTGAGGTGGTTTATGTGTGCCGTACGTAGATAATGGGTCTGCATCATCTTCTCAGTCTGTGAAAAGTTTTCTTATATGTTATAAGAGCATATACTTGCATAAACTCGATCCGGAATAGAATCGGTCAATTATAATCTCTGATCGTTTAAGCCTCATCGCGTGAACACTACATAATCTAACCGTTAAAAATCATGAAGCCCATGTGATTTTGGAGGGTCGATTTGTATCGCCCGTCTTGACAAGCAATGCGATCAACTCGGAGTGGAGTTGTCATTTCTATTCTAGTTTCATTTATATTGTTTTGTTGTGCAAAATTGGTAACCAATCTAGAAGTGAGCATTCCTCCAAATTTTAATGAACAATGATTCTATGTCTTAACTCATTGGATGACTGCCCTATTCTTTTTTCACGTGTTAAAAAAATAGTTACACATAGAATTTTGGTGTAAGCTCATTTTCTTTTTCCTGATGCGCAACTTCTATGAAGCAATTTTTTTTTTTTCACAATTTTCATGGCCAAGTAAATGAATCAACATATACTTTGCTCCAACGCCTCAGCAACAATCAAACATAATAATTAAGTTTAAATTTTCATTCCATGGCTTTCTTCATTCAATTCTCCCTCGTGCCATCCCTAAGTTGCTCTTAGTAACTGAATCAACAACATAATCAAATCCAATTACTCTAATAGCGGATCGGGAGCGAAAATCTAATTGAATCTCGCTCAAATCAGGACTCCAGAGATCGATCTATTTTAGGAGAGATTATAACGTGCACCGTACAATTTACATGGCTTCTCTCACACATGATAACATGGACATGACATTTTCACGAGAGATATGGGAATTCCTTTCCTGGACTTGGGTCCATTGGATTAGGCGGATCTCAATTGTCAACGTTGGGGAAAATTCCAAATAAGGGCATGAAGTATCATCATTTTCTCAAATAAAAACCTGAAGTGGACTTTGTATCAAATAATGACTTGAAGTGGCATGTCAGTCTCAAATAAGGGCCTAATAATGAGAGTTTCAAATAAGAGCCTGACTTCGCCGATCATCGGACGGCGAAATATTCCAGTCGGCGACCATCGAGGTCAAGGGCATTTTCGTCCAAAAATAATTTTAATTTTAAATAATTTTAATTTTTTTCTTTTTCCTTTTCTTTATTTTTTCCTTTCTTTTCGTTTTTTCCTTTTTTGATCTTCTCTTTGTTTTGCCGATGGCCGGGCCGCCCACCAGCGAAGCCCGGGAAGGGCCGGGCAAGGGTCGCCCTCGCCGGATTTGGGCGAGGCGACCTCGCCCTGGGTGAGGCCTCCCTCGAAAGCCACTGGCGAGGGCCGGCCTCGCCTGGGCAACCAGTGGCCGGCGAGACCCTCGCGAGGCTGTCCCTCACCGGCAGCTGGTGAGGCGACCCTCGTCCGTTGCCGGCGAGGGTGACCCTTGCCCAAATATGGTGAGGGCTGGCTCGTCCATGGTCGGCGAGGTCGTCCCTCGCCTGTTGCCGGTGAGGTCGTCCCTCGCCTGTTGCCGGTGAGGCCACCCTCGCCCAGCCCTCCCCGGGCTTCGCCGGTGGCCGGTCACTGGCGAAGCATAAAGAGAAACTAGAAAAAGAAATAAGGAAAAAAAAAAAGAAAGGAAAAGAATTCAAAAAAGTTAAAAGATGTAAATGCCCTGACCATCCAGAAAGTTAGGCGCTTATTTGAAACAGAAATAGCCACTTCATGCCATTGTTTGGCACAAAATCCACTTCGGGCCCTTATTTGACAAAAATGAAGGCACTGTAGGTTCTTATTTGATACAAAATCCACTTTAGACCCTTATGTGACAAAATGAGGGCACTTCAGGTCCTTATTTGAAATTTTCCCTTGACTTTATGAGTCCTATGTAGGCTCTACGTATGAGTTTCACAAAACTAACGGTTATGATACATTTGATTCAGTAAATCTAGGTTCAGGCAAGAATGTCCCTATGAGACGGCGATATGAAACGAGCCCAACCCAATTTTGAAAGCCTTTATATTAGACGAGCGCGAACCCAGCCGACTCTTAAACCACTCCATGCGCTCTCCGCCACGAAACATCCAAAAGTAGTCAACTTCCAAATGGCCCTATCAGAAACAGAATAGTTTGGCTGCAAGGAATCACATATGCCAGCTTGAATCTGTACCAAATCCTCCTATCTAGCAAGCAGGAGGCCAAAACCAGTGTGAATCACATGTAGCATCAGCTACAAAAGGGTAATGATTGAGCCGAGGGCCATGGGGATGCCAATAATCATGCCACCAGAAGGTAGATCTTCCATCTCCAGGACATGCTTTAAAAAAAGGTGGGGGCATCATTTCTAAGCTTCAATAACTTCCTCCAAAATGGATGAGGAATTAGCTGAGATGGGCAAAGTCCAAAAGGACTCGCCTTTCAGCCTACAAGCAACCAGAAATGGATCCTGCCTGCGCAAAAAAATCAACCATATACATCTCATGACTCAAGCAAATAGTATCCAGACTTACTTTGGCCCCTTTAGCAGAGGAGCCATCACCTTGCCACATAAAAGCCAGACTTTATGCTCGATCGACTTAATGACCTTGTATGGGAGTACATATAAATGTAATTGACAGGGTAGCGTCGAGAGACTAGGAGATGGCCGTGGTCTGGAGGTGTCTCCATTGATTGCCTTTTCATCGTACACTTGCAGTTGAATACTTTGTCTAAACGTTTCCTCATCTCATGAAACCCTTTATCTATGACTTCTTCTCTTTGCTCGGATTCTCTATTAACTTCTTTACTTTCGATGGCTGTATACTAGGGTGGTGTATGTTTTCATCAGTAGAGGGACACTTAGGGCTTATAACAGAATACAGAGGATGATGTGTATATTCACATGGAAGGAGGGTAGTGTATGCAGAGGTTTTGGTTGAAATACATGGGTAGTCAGCTCATTCGATGTGAGCAAAAGTTTGGTCAATGCATAAGTCATCAATGAACGAAACAATTGGCGGGCTATAAGCTCATCGATAGTGCAAGATGTCAATACAACAAGGTAGTGAGATTAGTGCATAGGTTATCAATGGCATTCTTCACCGGCTGACAACTTGAAGGAAATCGACCAATAAAATCATCGATATCTAACAAATACAGATTTTGCCAAGTGTTGAAGCAGTGTCATTTACCGACAAAACATAAATCTGCCAACACATCAGTTGGAGACGAAGATGGTGGATTGACACGAACACATATTGCCAGATGATTATGCCTACAACCTCGGAAATCGTAATTTCTTGTTGATAATCGCTGATAGATGATAGATGAACGTGTCTAAAATTTCGAAAATCATATACTGCTTATTAATAATCGTAGATAGTGCTAATAAGTTATTCGTGAATTCAAAATCCATAGTTGTGTGAGATCATCAATTAATAATACTTTTCAAATTTTAGTGAAACACGCGTCATCCACTGCATCGGCCAAATTTTTAATCAGTGGGTCTCCTTTGTATTACCGAGAAACTCGATTGACAACAACCCGATCGCCGGGATTGGCCAGCGCGGTGACTTACCTTGCCTTCCTGACGAGTGACGCGGACATAAAACACAGAAAATTGCTGCAAACTTAACCATTAAGGTGTTGACCTCTACAAACCCATGATGAGTCTTTGAGTTTTTGACAAGTTTCCCTTGTTCAACTCTTCCTTGTCATCTCGCTCCACACAGTTGATATATAAGCGTTGCTCTCGTCTCTTGGACGTTGCACACACCAGAGAGCACGTAGCCAATGGGGATCGACCGAAAGGGCTACGAGATCGCCGATACGGAAGACGCCGAGAAGTCGATCAGAAAGAGGATGAAGAAGAAGCGCCGGAGCTGCCTCTGGCTCTGCTGCTCCAACGTGGAGACGGGTTTGGTGGTTCGAGAGGACGGACAGGAAGAGAAGGCGGCCGACAACAGTTTGCCGGCGGTGAGTGCTCTCTCTCACGTTGATGGGAAGGAGAAGGGTGTTTTGGTGTTGGGGAACAGGTCTTGCTTGCTCATGTGCTGTTCCAACTTGGAAGGGAACACAAAGGGCAAACCGTCAGATAAGGTGTAAAACGCTCAGGCGCTGTTTCTGTCTTCAACAAATAAGGCGAAAAGCTTACATATATGTAAGGCATCTGTTGTTGTGAGGTGGTTTCTTTGTGCCGTATGTTGGATAATGTGTCTGCGGTGTCTTCTTGGTCTGTATAATGTTTTCTTAAATGGAACGAGAACAAGTTCTTTTCTAAACTCGATCCGTAACATGATTGGTTAATTACAATCTTTGATCGGTTAGCTCTCATCACGTGAATCCCATGTAATCTAATAGGTAAAAGGTTAATTGCGCATCTGATCCATGGATTACTGTTCGGGCAGGTGAATCTCAAGTAATTTTGGAGGCTCAGACTTGTATTGCTGGTCTTGACAAGTTGCTTAGGGTAAATTCTGTGGGAGCTTGTGATAATTGATGCAACCGACGAAGAGTGAAGTGAACCATGAAAGTGATTTCCTGTTGCTTTTAAGAAACTACAAATCCTGCAAATAAGCTTTCACCTTGGGCAATCTCTCTAAATCGCGTATAATCATCATCTCATGAAATGAACTAACCCTTAGATCATAGTACAATCAATTCGAAGTGGAATTGTCATCTTTATTCTAGTTTCGCTTATACTGCTTTATTGTGCAAAGTTGGTAATCCAATTTACAAGTGAGCATTCCACCAGATGAAATGAACAACGATTCTATGTCTTGACTCATGGAACCACGGCTCTATTTTTTTTTGTCATACGTCGAAAACAATTTACACATTGATTTGGGGGTGTAAAGCTCACTTTCTTTTCCTAATGCGCAACTTTTTCCAAGTACCATTTTCTTCTTCTTTCTTCATTTTTCTGTAGCCAAGTAAACGAATCAACACATGATTTTCTCGAACACCTCTATCAGTGAATCGTGGCGCGAAAATCTAATTGAAATATGTCCAACCAATCAATCCACGAGAGATTATTCCATGGTCGGGTAGAATGGAAATCCGAACTAAATCGAACCGTTGATGCCCCTAGTCACCTCTCCTCTCCCACCCGGACGTGACGTTTTCACGAGAAGGAAGGGAATTTTCTTCTCTAGACCAGGACCATCGGGGACTCGAGTGGATCTCAATCGTTGATTAGTGGGTCATACGGGAACGTTACGTGTGGGTCTTAGAAAAATCAAAGGTTACGATGCGTTCTGATCCATTGGATCCAGTTTCAGGTAAGAATGTCACTGCGAGAGGAGGGCCATGTAAGACGGGCCCAGCCCAATTTGAAAGCCTAACCCGGCCCAACTCGAAGAGCGTCGTCGTCGTCGTCTTCTTCTTCTTCGCTTCGCCTCCGCGTGAGGGTTTCACAGCAAGAATCTCTGATCTCCCAAACTTCCTTGGCTTCATCCCGACGGCAAAATCCATGGAGACCTTCGCCGTCCCTTTCGCGGTGGACCTCTCTAAGAAGCGCAAGATTGAGGACAACAACAACGGGTTCGCGCCGCCGACGGAGCAATCGGACGCCGTCCCCGCGCTCGACCCCTTCGAGGCTCGCAAGATGATCGAGCCCTTCACCAGGGAGCAGCTCCTCGACGTCCTCCAGGAAGCCGTCATCAACCACCCCGATGTGCTCTACGCGGCCCGCGCCGTGGCGGACGGCGACGCCACGCAGCGGAAGCTATTCGTGCGCGGCCTCGGATGGGAGACCACCACCGAGGGGCTCCGCTCGCTCTTCTCTGTGTACGGAGAGATCGAGGAGGCCGTCGTGGTCCTCGACAAGGCCACGGGTAAGAGCAAGGGTTATGGGTTCGTCACGTTTAAGCACGTGGACGGCGCGCTCCGTGCTCTACGGGAGCCGAGCAAGAAGATTGATGGCCGAGTCGCAGTTACCCAGCTCGCTGCCGCCGGTAATACCGGGTCGAATGCGAATCCCGTGGATGTTTCCAATAGGAAGATTTATGTAGGTAATGTGCCGATTGATATGCCCTCGGATAAGCTTTTATCTCATTTTTCTGCGTATGGTGAGATTGAGGAGGGCCCACTGGGGTTTGATAAGCTGACTGGGAAGTCGAGGGGTTTCGCTCTGTTTGTATATAAGACGATGGATGGAGCACAGGCTGCGTTGGTGGAACCGGCGAAAATGATTGATGGGAGACAGGTAAACTGTAAATTGGCGATCGATGGGAAGAAGAAACCTGGAGCGGGGCCTATGGGAGGTCCTGGTGCACCTGGTGGGCATGGGGATCGCCCAGTTGATGGAATGGGAATGGGTGGTGTACCTTCCTTTGCGGGGTCTGTTCCGGGGCAGTATGGTCCGAGTTCGGTTGGAGGTTACGGTGGGTATTCGGGTCAACCATCGGTGGGTCTGATGAATTCGGCTTCAATCGGCGGCCCCAGTGCGACTTCTATCTCCAATCAGGCTCCTTCATCCCTGGGCGGTGTTGGTGGTTATGGTGGTGGACTAGGTGGTCCATATGGTGGTTACGGCGGGCATGGGTCTGCAGGCTATGGAGGGATGGGTGGTGCTCTTGGCGGACATGGTTCTGCTGGGGGTTTTGGTGGCATTGGCGGCGGTTTGGGCGGTGCTGCAGGTGGACTAGGTGGCGTGGCTTCAGGTTTTGGAGGTGCTGCCACTGGATCATCTCTGTATCGGCCTTCAGGTGGGTATCCAGAAGGGGGGAACTATGGGTTGTCATCATCATCTGCTTACCCTAGTCAGACTCAGCAGCCAACAGGGACCTCACCTGTGCCAAGGGTTCACCAAGGAGGAATGTATCCCAGTGTGCCTCCTTATTATTGAGGTAATGTCGTATTTGCATTTAATCCATGTCGTTCTTTATCTACACTTTTTCTTTGTCATGTGGTCACGTACTGTGATTGCAGCTGTTTCCTTGCTAGTTATTTTTTGTTTGTCCGTAGAGGATAGTTTTGTTTCGTAGTTTGCTGTTGAATGCCTTTATGCTTTTGTTTCTGTGGCATCATCATCTATTCATATTCTTGGCTGCTGTACTTTTCTTTGATCATGGCATGACACAGCTATGAATTTAGTGGTTGACCTGGATTTATATTTTTGAGTTTTGTCCATCTTTTGGTTTTCCATCTTACATTAATTTGTAGTGACGCATGTGGTTTGGCTTCAGATGGCTGTCCAGTTAGCATGATGTCTGTTGTCACTTTTCAGTGTCAATTGTTGCCTTTTTCAATGTAGACCTCCTTATATATTTTGCTCTTGCGCTTATGCAGTTGGCTATCTGGGTGCGATGCATTTGCATGTGTTTTCATGCATGTTGGAGGGTACTATGCTTGTGGGCTCTTAAGTGTCATCCTTTTTGTGTGATATTTGCACATCCTGCGGATTTCTTTCTGCATGCATTTACTAAGTAGAATTCTTTAAATTAGTACCAAAGCATCTGATTGCTCTATGGATTTTCCTCTTCAAGACTTATGCAGGATACATGTGCACCCCTAAGGCAATAAAATAAAATGGATTAATTAATTAGTATGGATTAGGGATTAGATTTTTGTTTGCATGGGCATCTCTGAAGGCCTTGTTCACTGAAGTTTTTAAGCAAATATATGTTGTCTTTCAAGCATTTTGTATGGTATTGCCATGAGTTGTCTTATTAAAATTATTGAAGTATGACCTGACATAACTGTGGAATGGACAAGATTGGTAAATAAAAGCATCCTTAGTTATTCTTCCGGAGTTATTGAATTTGTACTTGACCGCATCATCCTTGTCTATTTTAGCTTGAAGTTTATGCTTCATGGTTGTGAAATGATGTATTGAGTTGTGATCAATATTTTATTCAGGTGTATGACAGCTTGTTGGGGCAGATGCTATTATCATTCTGGTGATTGACTGAATGCAAACAATATTTCTCTGGTTTGATGAATGCATTAGCTGTGCTTTTGCGGCCTCTCTTGACTCATCTTCTCCTTAATGATGTGGATCTGACTACTGTTAGCTAAAGCATCTTCAGATTAGATTTGATATTTTGGAAGCTTCTGTAATATCCGAGCTCTTTTCTTGAATGGAGGTGTTTACGAGCAGAAGTGTTGATGTTTAGTGAAAGGTTTCTTGTACTCATTTTTATGATTGTTTCCTTTACCATTATATGCCCCATAAGGATTTTGGAATTGTTTTTTTATTGGCGATGGTTGCACGGATGTTATTTGAGTTGCTTACTTTGGTGATGTCTTTTTATGTGATGATTCAAGTTTGAAGGGGTAAGAAAGAATCCCAAAAGTTTTTTTTTCCCTCTTTGAATTAGCTTTATTAGAGAATCCTGGTTTTTCAGTGGGTAGGGATGGCTGGTTTTTTCTCATTTGGTTTTCTGGCCTCGTCTCTCCCTTGCTTTTGCATATATACAATTTGGTTTTTGGAGTTCTGGGTTTTGGAAGGGTTCAGATAGTGGTTTCTTGAACACAAATTTTTGGAATATAAACTATTAAGTTCTTTTTTCTGTACTCAACTTCAAGGACATGACTTTCAATATTCCTGAAATCCCTGCTTAACCTTTTCACTTCCATCCCGCTGATTTGTTGATCCTTGGATAATGGCAGCTATACAAATTACAACGGTTAGCTGCTGCCGGCAGACATTTGCTTCTGCAAGTCTCTTTCTAGCATCATCATGATTAGTGCCTTTCTTTTGGTCGGGAACCGTGAAACATGTATCGTCCAACATTTTTTTATAAAATGATATTGCTTTTGGAAGTCATTCTGCAAGTCTGTGATGTCATGCAGCTAGTGCGCTATGCATGGCTTTTGTTTCAAAGAAACTTGTTTCTGTGTTGAGTGTAGTGGCCTGTCGTTATGGGTGAAGGCTATATTCTCTCGTCTCTGACTTGGGTGGGGGCAATCCTGTGATTCTTTATTCTCCCCTACTTGTCCTGAAGTGAGTTGTCGTTAATGGTTGGGATTTCAAACTTGTATCATGGTGATTGCGTGGTTCTGGAATTCAAATTTTTCCTACAAGTCAATATCTGTTCCTCAATTGTTTCATGATGTTATTTTTATGTTGTGTATGATGCTCCAGCTTGCTAGGTTAGCCTGTCATATGGGTTTAGTCTTGTGCACTGTTGCTTCGAGTGTAACATTCTCTCTGTACAAGCTTGTTGTCCTAATTATTGAGTCTTAGCTTTTGCTGGTGCAATATTTAATGCACCCTGGGACTAAGCTGAAGTTTGTGCTCTTTATCTCTTTTATCTTTAAGTCGAGCTTGACTTACTGGCATCTGCTTCTTCATATGGTATATCAAAGGTGCTAAAAATGCGATATTTAGGAAGCTGGGGAGAGTGAAATAAGCTTTTGGATGCACACTCTAGTACCATTGTTTGATGAGAGTATTTGTTATGCAATGATCATCTCCTAATTGAAGGAGAATGTTAAAGGTGATCGAAAGTTCTTGGACAATTTATCCATCGTGGTCTTTAAGATGCTTTTGTGCCTTTGATGCCACTTTGGATGAACTTATTTTGTTTGATAAAAGGAGGTAAAATATCCCACTCAAATGTCAGAGGGTACTCATCACTTGTGGGAGCTTATCGAAGTTGTTATGTTGATCATTTTGGAAGAAGAGGAAGATTTCATGGCTTGAATTGTTTCGTTGATTTTTGACTTTTTAACTTTGTGTGGTTTGTAGGATAAGATGGTATTTGGCTGATTTTCCACTAGATGTAGTGGTTGATTCACGAAAGTTGGATGGGTATTATGGGGATAAATTTGTAGGTGTTTTTGGACCAAAAACTTTTAATCCAAGTAAATATGCGTGCACAATGTTAGGGACTTTTTAATTTTCTTTTGGGTTGATGCATGGTTGTTAACTTGGGTGGAGGGAATGTTGTGCTCCCGGAGTGCCCAGAAACTTCTCGCATAATTTAGCCACATTGCTTTGATAGCTTGAATCATCATCCCATTGATATTGCAGAGGTGGTATTTAATTATATACGCTTTGATGTCTACAATACTAAGTGAGATGACCCTAATCAATGCTCTTTGAAACTCGGTTGTCAAGTCCCCCCTTTCAAGAAATCTTCAGCCAGAGGCATTCCAAATCAGCAGACTCGATGATCTAGTTCAGAACAATTGACAATTTGACATGGTGATGATTTGTTGTCCTGATTGTTGTCTAAATGTTGGTAATTCAGGTCCATTCCATGTCCGTACGTGATCGATAGATGGTAGTGACTGTCTTATGAAGCTTTAACTTAATTGTTCTTTCTATAGTAAAATATGGTTTTATGAATTGATGTGGCTAAGTTTACAATGGAATTGGAGAAATAGGAAGTGGCTTAGTAAGTCATCTCATTCTTTTAATGCTTTTGCCTTTCCTTGTTCTGACCCATTTTTCCTCGTCCTTGTTCATGGGGCACGAGACATGACCCCTTTCGAGTAGGGCCGAGGCCAGGGAAGTTCTGAGAGAAGAGTTTCCGCCACCAGCTGCGACGTTGTATTGTGTCAGAGTCGGATGAATTTCAGGCGATGCTGTTGTTGGATTCTTTTTTACGCAACGGGACGGATGACTCCTGAAAATTAGGACATAAGCTTGCTAAGTTCGGAAATATTGTATTTGTAGCACTCGTCAGGGCACTCAGGATGTATCTCATGCAATGCTAGACAAATCATCGATTGTTGTTTTCTCAAAAGGAATTTTGGAAAACGAGTTTCAGCTAGTGAAATAGAGAAAAGTAAGTTAATTGATCTACTATTGGAAAAGATAAGTACTTTGACGGTATTAAAAATATAAGTTGGATGAATATATCAATAGAACTGATAAGATAGTCTAAGGAAATATAGTTAAGTGGAAGGGGAAAAAAAGAACTCAACCACAAAAAAGTTGAATTACACGAATCAATACTCATTATTATACTAATTAATCCTTTAAAATAAAGGGTAATCAATTTTTGTCATTTTACTTTTGTATTGAGGCATTTTCCTTTTTAATTAGATTTATGTTTGTTCTTTTGCTTATAATATGTCATTTGGTCATATAAAAGCGGATGTGTTTATCACATAGTTTCTAGCTTTTTACAAGAATGGTAAAAGAGAGACTTGCGTACGGAGAAGGGATGAAAATAAACGTTTGCCCTTAAAAAGGCAAGTGCGTTGTATGCGTGGAGAGTTGAAATTTTGGATCAGGATCTCAGTCGAAGAAGAGAGAGAGACCAACTCCACCATCATCAGATTTGTTTGCTGAGGTGCTCTAGCACATACGGGAAAATCCAGAAATCACTTTGTGTCCAGACAACAATCGCCAAATCCAGGAGTTGGCCATGCATCGAACGAAAATTTGTAAAGTGGAGCCCGGGGAAGAAGAAAGGCGAAAAGAGAATCTATATCTTCACCCTCGATTTGGAAGTCACCGGAGAAAGGTACGTTGAAGACAAATGTAGATGGGCTTAATCGTGGACGGCGAAGAGTCAGAAAGAAGCATAGCGTGACTCTACAGAGACGACTCCGGGAATATGGTGGATGGGTTCGCAAAGAAGGTGCGAGGGACCACGGAAAAGTTAGGAAAGGAGTTTCGATTTGTGAAAACAAAGCGGAAAGCCTAAGTGGGTATTTTTCCAAATATGTATGCAAATCTATCTTTTTTATGCGCAATCACGGTCCGGTCGAAGCAAGAGCTAATCAATAATCTCCGCCTTTGTTTATTAAAACGGGTCTAATTAAAAATTACGAGAAATAAAAACGTTCCTAACTTGGCTACCTCTGCCTAGAAAAATTTCACAAAACCCTAAATATAAATGTTAACTTGGCTGGGTTTCATTAAATAATATTTATGAAAATAATGATACAAATGTATTTTGATAATAGAGAACAAATATAACGACCTTTTTTTAATGATAGAGGAGAAGTCATCGAAGTGTCTGTGCTTTTTAGCATCTTCTTCCTTTTCAAGCGGCGTCACTCCGCTCTCTCGCTCTTCCTCTTTCCTTGTCGACGCGACGCAAGCCAAGCGAGCTTCTTCCTTCATGCAGCTCTCGCTCGCTCTGTGTCGCGCGGCCTCATCAGCTCAACCTCATCGCATGACGACGAGCCCGCGCGCTCCTCTGCGGCGACCCTCTCTCCTCCACGCCTCCAGGTAAACTGATCTTGACCCGGCGGGGCTTCGGGCCCCCCTCCTCCGGCTCCCTCGTGGTCTCCGATCATCGCGTCGCGCGCCGCTTCGTCTTTTGTTTCGGGCGTTTGCCGAGTCGGAACGGAGTGATCGAGCTCTCGCTTTGAGTGGGGGCTGGGAGGAGTTCTCCGTGCTGCTGAGTCGCGTGTTGGGAGATTCGTTTTGGTCTTTCTAGTATGGGTGTTGCGGTATTCTTTTTCGGTTTAGAGGATGGTGCCATGGGCTTTCCCGATTGCGTGGAGAGGGTTCTGTGTGTTCCGCTGAATTTGTGCAGCGCGTGGTAATCTCATGATTGTGTTGCTTGCAATTTATTCCCGGCTGCTTCCAGAAGTTCGAACTTGACGTAGCGGGTTAAAAGAAGTTGTGGTTAGAATTATGAATCCTTGGTACGTGTATAATTTCTGTATAGACGTTCTTAATATTGTTATCTTGAAAATTAGAACCGATCATGGTGCCACTGTGCCAGCACACATGTAGAGTACGTGTTCTTCTAAGCAGAGTCTAACATGGGTCTGTTTCTCTTTGAAGTTTGATTGGCGGCTTGGCCTATTTGAATGAGCCTAGTCAATACCTTCTCCTGATCCTGGTGTGCGCTCCTCTAGTGTTTCTACTTTCCGATGGCTTTGTTCTCCGCTGTAGTTTCATGACCTATTTCCATCGCACCATGATGTTTCTGGGGCCCGCTTTCAGATTTTCGTAACTCTTAATCTGGTTTCTGTACTTACTACTTAATATCTAAGTTTGAGCGGCGGTTGCAGTTTAGTTGTATTGTGTCTTTCTTCTAGTTCGGCTATCGTTTTTAGGTCCAATTTCTTGTAGCTATTTGTCTCCCTACCGTAATAACCTTCTTTCATTTTGCTGGCTCTTCTGCTGAGATAATATTAAAAAGCTCTTGCTATTTCTGGCAAAATTCATTAAAATCACCTTAACTGTTGCTCTTCCATTTTCAAATATATTGATAGGGGTAGGGCGACTTAATTTTGCCACTTCGCGCGCTTTCATGTTGTGTTTGACATGTTCGCCTCCTGGTTGGAGGGGTGTACCGCTCCTAGAACAGGATAGAAGATTTATATAAAATTAGGCCCTTCAGTCGCCCCATGCAGTTATCGGTCTATCGATGTGATTGCCTCTCTTGTGAGGTATGGAAAGTACAAGTTTTCGCTGTTTTTGAGACCTATTACTTTCCTTTCGTAGAATGGGGTAAAAGAAGATTTGCTGATGGTGTGGTTATTGTGAGCGATTTGATGTGCTACGATGACTGTTGGGTGTTCAGCTTTTAGCTAGTGGTAGTGACTGGTTTCACAGACTTCCTCATCAGCATGTGGTTTCGGGCATTCATTTTTCTTTGTATGTGTCTTTTTAGGCTCCTCATTCTTGAGTACGAATAGTGCCTCTTGTTCTTCAAGACAAGGAGGCTTTTCCAAGTATCGATTACTGGAAAAAATAAATCAACATCATAATGGATTTGTCTGTTAAACGTCAGAGCTGGTTAGGCCACTTCTACCGAACGCTATGCCAAGAAGGGGATGGGACTGTGAAGCAGGTAAAATATATTTTTGGGATACTTTGTTCTCTTTTTCTATCTTTATTTTTGCAGCTTTTCCCTTCTTTTTCAGGTGAGATAATTTTAACGTCTTCATCATTATTACTAGAAAGAATTTTGCATGATATCTATTATCCAATTTTCTGTTCAGGGATAACACCTTATGAGGCATGCGTGTATTATGTTGTGCGGTTTAGTTTAGATACATGTGCGGTATATTTCCTCTAGACTCTAACACGTAGTTTGTTCCTTGATGCTGAACGCCTTTCGTTCAGGATTTTGATCATATCGAAAAGCAAGTAGAAGCTGTTGGTGAGAAAATGAAGAGTTTTTGCTCTAAAATCTTCCGTGATGTGCAACCTCCTGAAAGAGATGTCATGAGATTCGACCCTCAATTGGATTCAGAAGGAGATTCTTCCACCGGTGGCAGTGCTGATTTATTGAGAAGTGTTGAAAATGAGCCTGGGAAGAGTATCCCAAACCAATCGCAGGTGGCCTGCCCCTTAGAGAATTATATGGGTCATGAATTGAGCGAAACTGATCCTTTTATATTTGACCCCCAGTTGGATCCTCAGAGAAGTATGCCAGTGGTAGAAAGTAATGATGAACATGTCCAGATGATCACAGACCAATTGCAGGTGACCTGCCATTTGGACCCTTTTCAGGAACCAGTTGAACCTCAAACTTCTAATCGCTCTTCTCAGAATTCGATTGAGGTGCCAGCATCTTTCTTAGATGTGGGGCTGCCGGATGAACCCAATTCTTTTGATAGTATAAAGAACCAAGGACGTACAATGGACGATCCTAGTCAGGAACCTGAACAAAGTGAACCTCAAACTTCTAATATCTCCTCTGAGAATTTGTTTGGGATGCCGGAGTTTTCCTCAGATTTGGGACTACTCGACAACCTAACTGCGCTTGATAGTGTGAACAGCCAACTGGCGCATACATTCAACGACCCTAGTCAGGAGCCAACTAGACCTCCAACTTTTGATCCCTCTTCTCCAAATTTGTTTGAGGTGCCAGAGTCTTCTTCAGAATTGGAATTGCTGGACTTAATCTTTCCTTTTGATAGTGTGAAGAACCTACCAGGACATTTATTTGACGACTCTAGTCGGGAAAAAAGTGAGTCTCAAACTCGTAATCCCTCTTCTAAGAATTCGTTTGAGGTGCCAGGGTCCTCAGATATGGTACTACTGGATGAACCAACTGCTTTCGGAGGTGTGAAGAACCAACAAAGACATATATTCAACTCCCCAAGGGCTCCAGTTTCTGCGCATTTGCTCGAGGGTGGATGGTCAAAATCATCTTTGGGGTGTGCAGATGGTGCCTTGACAGAGGAAAAGGCTGCCAAGTTTTGGAAGGAAAATGCCGTGCAGGGGGAGTCATCTGCACCTGAGGTGTACTCAATCTCTTCTGTCGAAAAGGATTTATGTGAAGCTGATTTTCTGTCCATTCATCTCCCTAGCGACGACAATGCAAACACTGCAAATTTAGCCCCAAACAAGCTTTCATCTGCAAATTCAGTTCATGCTGAGGAGGACCTTGTCCCTTCTGACAACTTCACAGTTGAAACTGTATGTGGCATTGGTGCTTCAAATACGATCGCTTCATCTGATATGTCTTCACCAGTTGCATCTCATGAGGAAGAGGCAAAGAAAATGGATCTTGAAAGCTTAAGCAATCCAGTGGAAGTTGAATCTTATAAGTCGGAAATCTTGCCTGAAGTTTCCTTTCAGGGGGGGAGCTTTTGTGATGATGAAGTTGGTATTGTGAGTTGTATACCTCATAGTTCCAGCTTTACCCCATTTGCCCTATCAGGTGGAGGCGGTTAGTATTTTCAGATTTCTTTGGTTGCAAAATATCTACATCCTTTCCATTCATAGATGATTTTAAGTTTTCACGAGCCCCATATTCTTCTTCAGTGGAAAATGCCTCTGGGTCTAGTGACGCTACTTCTTTGACTGAAGCCTACAGAAAAGAGCACATTCAGTTCGACGAGTCTGCTGAATTTTATGATCTCTCGTTCTCTTCAGGTAAGGATCCATCTTGAGACTCAAGAATGGTCCTTTTCTAAACCATAATGTGCACCTTTGCCTGCATATGTTGTTTTTAGAAGTGATTAAAGTGTATGCTGATGTCATTATGTGACATACAGGTAAACTTTATTAGTGGTCCCAACAGGTCTAAGTTTTGATTTCAATGATGTAATGTGCTAAATTGCAATTGATGTACCCTCGCTAGAATCCGGCAAATTTCCAGCAAAATGTTAATGTGGTGGCCACATGGTGCTGACATGGCGTCCAATTGAGCTTCATGTCAGCCTAACTCAATCGCATGATCCTTGCAATCCATGGCAGAGGGGCTGTGCAACCCTATGCAAGCCACTTAAGAGGGTCGCAGGACCTTCTGCCACTGCTGTTGCTTGCAAAGGGCTGACAACCCTCGACTGCGTGTGGCGGTCCTCTGCCTCTCTTTTTTTTTTTAAATTTTTTTTTCAAGTTTGTACTTGTTTTCTCAAGTTCTTTAAAATTTCTTAAGTTAAGGCTGAGTAGGGCGCATTGTCATTGTCATGTGGTTGCCAAGAGGTCATGTCAGCAATTCTTATAAACATTGATGGGATTTTGATCAAAGTACCTAAATTGCAAAAGTGAAAGTTTGGACTGTATGATATCCCTTTGCTGACTTTATCCATGTATCTGTCTGTTTGGCTGTGCTATCTTTTGATTGTCTTTCTGATTTTGCATTGATTATCTTGTGAATTTATGCTTATTATGTATCTGTCCTCAACACTGATATTATAGACAAGGACGAGAAGGTGAAGCTTGGGGAGAGTTGTGTTGCTTTAGATTCTCGTGAGCTATATGCTCTGTCTCTTAGGATCCAACAGATTAGGCCATTCAAGGTACTCTATCTCACTCCACGTCACACAAGTACATGCATTATGTTTGTAGAATTTGGATGAGCTTCCATTGTAAATTTGAGTATTTTCTGATATTGTTCACCCTTATCTTTCAGCATGTTTTCATAGACATCAATCTCACTTTGATTCATTTCGATATGTTATCATAAACTTGTCTTTCATCCCAGCTAAATAATGCTCCTTTTCCTGTTCCATTCAGAAAAAGATCATGGATACCTTTGCTCCAGGACGAAGGACAGTAAAGGAATATGAACAGCTTGGGATATGGTATGAAGACAGTCAAATTGAGAGCAAGTTTAATCAAGAAATAGAACATACTACTTCACCATCTGCAATCTCAGCCTTTTCAGACCGTCAAAGTTCGCAAGAACATCAAATTGACTCTGATTGGGAACTATTGTAGGTCATACCGATGCTTCCTTAGGTACACTGCATTAGAAAGGTAAACCTGGCTTTTTTTACCATAGGCATGAATTAATTGAGGATGATCCACTGTGATATCAATAAGAATGATTGTCAGGAGGTTTTGTCGAGATATGGAGATGAAAGTAAAATGTAGTCTGAAAGAAGATGGTTTCCTATAGAAAATGATATACTCGTAAGCAGATATCTTTTGTTTTTCCTATGGCTACATATAACGTTTTTGCACCCAAGTTGTACTTGTTTTCGTCAGGAATTTCCCTGGACTTTGTTATACTTGGAGCTATACAATGGTTCGATGATCTTTTAACAAGTACGCGTCCAAAATTTCATTCCATGCATCAGGGAGTCCTGGTAAACACCAGTGGATGCAATCACCAAACGTTTGGGGTCAGATCTCTGCTCCTTTGTTAAGAGCTTGCCCCTTCTGCTCCATAAAAACCGATGTGTGAGCATCTTTTCTGAACTCCGACATCTGAGTTGTCTTCAACAATGTTACATTGATCTTTAGCTGTTGAAGGGCATGATGTACTATTTTATGATCTCAATGTTTAATCCGCTGCCCCAGTATGGACCCTGGATGGGGTATGATTCACTGAAGCAGTTCCATCACTTCCAGGCCTCCATTACCAGCTCCTAATAACAGAATGACTAGTGCAGCTATAATGTTGATGCTTGAATAGATCGTATCTGCACAGCTTTTGTTGACTTTCGTACCAAAGTGAGAGGAAACTGAGAATGCTCGGACTGAACAGCAAACACAACAGCAATTTGACTAATATGAATACTGGGTAGACATATAACAAGCATGAAAAGCATAAAAACGTCATTTCTGAAAGTTTTCCATTCATGAACCTATGATGCTTGTTTAAACATATCCTAAGCATAATCAGCGTAGAAAAGAAATTCTCTTAAAACAACTAAAGAGAAAATGATGGCTAATTTTCCTTCTTTACGGGCGTAAGTTTAGTCCTATGCACCATATACACAGCGATGTTAGAAGGGGTGCTCACCACAAATGTGTTGGGGACATACTCATGAAGAAAACCTTTTGCTTTTGAAAGTCGATGCTTGACTCTAGCCAATTTGCCCAAGTTCTAAAGCCAACAGCCATATAACTGGACCTAATTGTCCTGCTCTACGTCTGCCATTGCTTTTGTCTCATTCAAGAACTCCAGTACTTCTAGTGGTGAGTTGGTAAAAATTACAACACCTTTATAGCAACTACGGTACCGTCTTTAAGAGTTCCCTGTGTGTTTGAACAAAATTACAGAAAGGAATCAGCATCTCAGCTCTCAATGTCGGGAAAGAGTGACAGACAAATACTCCAAGAAGCGATCAAACCCAAATAAGCAATCACCTTGCAAACAGATCCAACACCCCCCTCTCCAACTTTATTGTCTGGACTAAAGCCTTCAGTTGCCCCAAGCAACTCATCGTATGTGCACATTCTTAGGTTTTGGATGACTACATCTGCACATTCAAATAAAAAGGAATTCGAATTGGAGAGGTCAGACATGCAAAGAATACACGGGAACCGAATAAGCTGAAATGCTGAGTCCGTCATTCTACATATGCCAACAGTCCAACAAATTCAGAACAAGCAGAGTTGTGAGTACCTTATAGAAAAAATTGTCGAATAGATGTTCACTAGGAGAAACTAATCTGAGAATCCATTGCGTAAGACTCTTTTTATTGGATTAGATATTTACTCTATTTCCATTGTGTAACTTCCAAATATTTTCCCTTATTCATAATAGCTGTTCAAATTCGATTTGATGACTACTTGTATTTACTTCGATTCTTTTCCAATTCAAGTCAAGCGGCTTTGCTTTGCAAGCATAATCACGCAGTTGTGCTTTTACCTATTACAGTTACATAATTTACAGTTATTTATACGAATAAATCTGTACATACAATCTTCCAATTGCGCTATGGGTGCGTTTGGTTCGGCTTTTGAGAAAGTCTTTGGAACAATGCAAAGACTTTTAAAAGAGTGTGTTTGTTTCACTTAAAACTTCATAATAAAGCGAAATGTTATTTATGAAAACCATTTTCAAGGAAAATAGTTTTTATTTCTTCGGTGGTTTAGGGGAAGTGATTTCCTTCTTACTATTAAAGGGAAAATCATTTTCCCCCAATCCAAATTTATTGTTTTCATAACGTTTTTTTGAAGATCAATTAGTATTTTGTCAGCCAAACACCGGAAAATCGAAAAATAATTTTCTAGAAACAGTTTTCCTTCAAACAAACGGACCCAAATTTCAGTTAAGATATATTAACTGATCAAATCACTTAAAATGTTCTCCCAATTATTAGGAAATCAATTTTTTTTTCCATTTTTAAGGAAATTCCGAAAAGGGATTACGGCGCATGTGATTGTGACTGATCCCTTCGTTATTCACAGGTGGCATGTCCTAGGCTTGGAAGTCTCTATTCTGCATATTTTCTTCCCTCCTTTCAAAGTTCCTCGATCTGTTGAAATTACGGATCGATCATCACGCCCATCCCTCTCGTTAGCTCGAGCATTAGGATAATGGGTTAGGATCTGGTCTCATAGATTTGGGCTATCCATACCAAAACTGGGCTATTGCACTAGGCCCTCTCAATTTCTCTAGACCCATTTCAATTTAAAGAAAAAACACCAACCCACACTCATTTAAATGAGGCTAAGCCCATATATGGCCAAAGACTAGCCCATAGGACTCAACTTAAAACCTCTCATACCCTAACAAGATTAAGCCCATTTTATTTCCGCTTCCACATTTTGCCTTCTTTTCCTATAAAGTTAATTTCTATTTTTTACTTTACTTATTTCTCCCACCATCTTAACATTCACTTCTATTCCCAGAACATTCCTTATTGCCCAACCTTATTGCCCAAAAACCTTCAACACTTGTTGGATAACCACGGAATAACCGAAGCTTACGTAAAAATCTACTGAAAATCTCATAATTTATCATTGACCACCATTGATCTACGGAACATGATTCGTCATCTTCGCTGGACGAACATACAATTCGTTGGTCGCCACCAAAGGGGTGTCAACGGTTTGGTCAGTTTGGGTTTTCAGGAAATCTGAACCGAACCAAACCGAACCAATAGGGTGAGCAAATTAACCTAATCGAATCACGATCCGAACCGAATACAAACCAAACCAAAAACCTGGTTCGAATCGGTTCGGTTTTTCGATTTTTTCCCCTACTTTTTGGAACCACCGACTTGTCATCCTCCATTGCCCGAACAACCTTTTCTGCTTTCTCCACTTTACATTACTTGCAATAACCATGTTTTTTTTATAATCCCTTGTCAGCCATCATTCAACACCCTCTCAACTCCTTCCATATCCCCACAACTCACATATTCATCAATCAAGCTACTGTAAGTGGCTATATTCATTTCAAAACCAGCATTTTCCATCTCCTCCGCAAACTCCAGAGCCTTATCAACCCGCCCATTCTTGCAATTTGCATTCACCATTATTGTACAATTGAACATATTGGGCATTATCCCCATCATCACCATCTAATCAAACACGAGAACCGCAGCATAACTCTCACCCTTTCTAACCAACCCACTCAGCAAATTACAAGACCTCAAACTCGGCAATAGACTGCATTTGCCCATTTTATCAAACAAGTAGAGCGCATTCTTTACCATTGAACGACAAGTTTTGAAAATCCCTTCACAAATCGCCTCTAGTAGCCAGCTAGTTCGAGAAAACTTCTCACTTCAGTGACATTAGTAGGGTGACTCCATTGAACACTACTTCAACTTTCTTCGGGTCAACTGAAATGCCATCCTTTGATATTACATGGCCCAATAATTCTATATGATCAAGTTAGTAACCGCACTTACTGAATTTAGTATAAAGCTTATTTTCACGCAAAGTCTACAAGATAAACATCAAGTGTTGCTCATGTTCCTCCAAATTCCTCAAATACACCAAAATATTATCGATGAACACCATAATAAACTTGTCAAAATACTGCCTGAATACCCTATTCATCGAATCCATGAAAGCAACATGTGAATTTGTTAACCCAAAAGGCATGATAAGGAATTCATAATGATTAGACCTCGTCCTGAAAGTAGTTTTAGGTACATCCTCTACTTGTATATTCAACTAATGATATCCAAAACGAAGGTCAATCTTAGAAAATACCTAAGCTCCGTGAAGTTGATCAAACAAATCATCAATCCGGGGCAAAGGGTATTTCTTTTTTACTGTCACCTTGTTAAGTTCTAAGTAATCTATGCAAAGTCGCATACTACCGTCCTTCTTTTTCACGAATATATAGGGCGCTCCGTAAGGCGAAACATTAAGTCTAATAAAACCCTTATCCAACAACTCCTGCAATTGTGTTTTTAATTCCTTCAATTCATATGGTACCATCCGATATGGCACCTTAAAGATACATGTAATACCGGACATCATATCAATACCGAAATCAATCTCTCTATCAGGAGGCAAACTAGGCAAATCTTTAGGAAACACATCCAAAAATTCTTTGACAATAGAAACATTTTCGAGCTTTACAATATCCTTACTTGTGTCGTTTACACAAACCAGATAACCATAACAACCCTTCGTTAAAAGCTTCCTCTCTTGCAAAGCTGATATCAATCTTGGCAAAGTGCCATTACACTCCCCGAAAAAGAAAATGTGGTTTGATTTGGAAGTTTAAAGACAAATTTTTTGGAATAGCAATCAACAGTAGCATGATATGTTGATAACCAATTCATTCCTAAAATAACATCGAAATCCTGTATATTTAACTCCACCAAATCCATAGGCACTACCACATCATTAATCCAGAGCAAAGAGTTCTTGAACACACGGTCATCAATCAAGAAATCACCAGTAGAAGTATCAACATGCATCTCATACTTGAGAGGTTCAGGCAACACATTAAGATTTTTTGCGAAGTCAATGGAAATAAAGGAATGCGTAACATCATAATCAAATAACGCATACATATATCGAGAGGCAATAGGAATATTACCTGCAACAACTACGTTGGTCGCTGTCGCATCCCCCTTTGTCATGGAAAAAACCTTCCTAGTCGTCCTCTGTCTTTGCTGATTTTCTTGGGACCTACCAGCTAAAGGGGCATTCTTGCCCCTAGAACAAGCTTATGCTAGATGCCTAGGTTGCCTAGATACAAAACACACTCCATTATCCTCAGGGACACTCCTTAGTGTGGGATAATCACGCGCAAAATGTCACATTTTCCCACAAAGGAAGCAAGCTCCTATCTTACAGTAATAAGGATCGCCACGACGTCTCCCACAAGTAGTACAAGGGCCAGAATCTTGGGCTTTCCTGGCTAGTTAAAATCTCTTCTGTTACTGCTACCACTGGTTCGGCTATCATGATAATCAGTGAGCTTAAACTTCTTGTGCTAAGGTGCACCATATTTGCCACTCGCCAACATGTCTTGCTCCATCCTAATTGCTCGATTCAACACATCTTTGTACATAGTCAATACAAAAGGTGTGAGAATATTGCGAATGTTGGGTCGAAGCCCTTGCTAAAAGTATTCCGCCCTACGCCTTTCACTAGTCACGAAACCTTCCTCAAATCTACACAGTTAATTAAAACGGGCCGCGTACTCCATAAACGTTGAGCTACCTTCGGATATATTTATAAAGTCACTCCTCATCTTCGCTTGGAATGACTCGGGGAAGAATAGAGCATTGAACGCCTCAATGAAGTCTTTTCCAAGAAATGATTGCATCATTACCTTCAAGGGTGGGTCTAGTTCATTCCCATCAACATATAGTTTCGCCTTTCAAGTCTCAAGTGGCAAAGTTGACCTTTTAGTCGTCACAAACAGTCTCTGCTCTAAAGATTCCCTCTATGCTTTTAATCATACTATCGACATTGAGAGGATCCAACTTCCCATCAAACTTAGGTGGGACCGCCTTTCTAAATGTGCGAAGGTGCATGAATCAGTGGTGTCACCTTTGTCGCGACCACCCTTTTCGCGAGGAAAATGTGGGGCTAGCCTGGCGTGCGTTAAGTTTAAATTTGGAACTTAACTCAGGCTCTCCCAAACCCATACCGTATCGCGACTTGTGGTTTAGGTTTTTAACCTATAAGTGATTTTTATCTAGGAGTCGTCACTAATTAGTTTAGAGTGGGTCGATTAGAAACCCAAGTAAGACGACGGGAGAATCGCCTTACTCCTACAAACTAGAGATTCAAATGAGTTCGGGGACTTGATTATACTAGTTACACAACTAGTGTCCTTTGGATACCTAATCTTTGTTCAAACAACATTTAGAGGTGTTCATGCAGTTTTTCTATCGATTGTGAATCCTAGGGTTCTGATCCTAACCAGGCTAAGGAAACGACAATCAATACATTGGAATTACGCAAACAAAAACGTAACATATCTCTAATCAGGCACATGCAAGGTCGAATTAAATACACAATTCAAACATGCGAATCAATCAACGTGCAATTAAGCATGGCATTAATCACACAAAAGGGTAAAAAAAAGGCAATTCCAAAATCCAATTTTCATTTTTTGATTTTTTTTTTTATTTTTTTTATTTTTAATTAAAAAATATTTTTTAATATTAAAATAATAATATAGTATAATATTATTGGACCCGGGTCGGATCTCCACATCCGACCCGAGCGCGCCGGCCTAGGTCAAAGCGGAACTAGGCTCAGTGAATGAGCCCAATTCGGCAAAACTAAAAAAAAACCAAAAAAACTAGTCCAGCCCAACTTTCTAATTTTCCCTTTAAAAAAGACAAGCCTAGCCCATCCTAGACGAAACCCTAAGAGTCGGGTTGGATCTCCACACTAGACCCAGGTTGGACCGATGAAACTCAGCTCCAAAGTTATTGTTCGCAGGATGTCCAAAACTCGCGGCAAATTTCAAAAATTTATTCTAGGCAAACTACAAGCTCAAATCATGATTCGTAAAAAGTTATAATTTCACAATACCCTATATTTCCATTTCTATATATATACATACATATATATATATAGTGTGTGTGTGTAGCCCGACTACCTCCAATCGGACGCAGCAATACAGAAATGACAAAACTCTGAATTTCAAGCCATAACTTCGATGATTCTTCGGCTAGACGAATAATAGGTTTGAAGACTTACTGGCGTTACAAGACGGCGTTGATTCGGCCTCGGATTGTCAACGCGTCAAGGATTTTCCCATTTCCTCTTTTCTTTCCCTTTTCCTTTTCGCGGACGTGCGCTCTCTCCCTCTATTCTGTTTCATGTTGTCTCCGCCGAAAGCTTCTTCATTTGCTGAAGATAAAAGAAAAATGGGTTGAGGCCTATGTCTTAAGAACATGGGCCGGGCTTTGAGCTCAAATATTACATGAATTGCATTCACAATGATCGAATATTCAGATACTTCCGGCAGCATTTGTAGAACTCTAGAAAGTACTTCTTCAAGTTCAAATACAAATAAAATATAGAAAAAACTAGACAACCAAGAAAGTCCCATGTATTTCAGCCTAAAAAAGAAGTAAACAAAAAGAAAGTTCCTTATATGTAATCCAGCAAAAACCTGCGTAGCTCAAGGTCATTCGAACAAATGACTTTCATCTCATTATTGTTTCAAACGGACTAGAGTAAACCAACCAACGCCATCGAGTAAATACCGATTTCCCTCTTCACGCTCGCGAATTACATAAGACTAGACAGACAAGCGATAAGCAATGAAGAAACTCACCTGGGTTTGCGTATGAGGCAAAAACGGAGCTCATTTCAGAGAGAGAGAGGGAGAGAGAGCGGGATGGAGAGGGAAATGACGAGATCTTGTTCCTAGTTAAAGACTCTTTCTCCGTGTCGGATGGAGCGTTGCAATCAGTCCTGGTACGGCCTTTCAGGAAGAAGAAGATGGTACAGCAACATTAACTGAAATCATTCATAGTTGCTTACCTCCCGAGATGATGGACGTCCCATTTTGGAAAAAGTCATTCTTTTTTACACTCCGACGGCTAGGGGCATGCACTATTCTGAAAAATGCCTAACCTTTTTTTTTTATCTTTTCCCTTTTTCTCAGCTTAGTCTCCTTTCGCTTTGTCTGTTGTGCTTTGTCCCGTACCCGTTGACGCCCATCACTTTTTCTATTATGCTTCATGCCGTACCCGTTGACGCCACCTCTCCATGACGCCTTTTGCTCTGCCAAAAACGGAATGGGGAATTTGACCATTCCTCGATACAGTGTGTCGTGCCTACATTACTTCTTGTGGAACGACGCGTTTCGGGCGTTCAGATCCCCCTTAGATCTCGCCGAGTTGCCCGTTATGATGAATGATGGAGATAGTAGCGGGCGGGGGAGGAAAAAAGAAAGGGGGGCAACGCCAAGCGGGAAAAAGGCCCGGTAGAACCACCGTGATGGACCGGGCAGCGTATTTTTGATTTTTCGTTTTTTTTTTATTTATATATATTTTAATTTTTAATTATTCGCCAGTTTACCTATTTGCATAATTTTGTTATTTTTGCTATTTTGCTATTTATATTTTCATGAGGAAATAACGATCTACCAGACCGACAAAATTAAGTGTCAATAGCAGTATATGGAAAAGTCATCCTTTTTTGACAATCCAACGGCTTGGTGGGCATTTAGACCCCAAAAAAAAAAAAAATAACAACTAAGGGGCACGCATTTTCTGAACCTTTTTTTTGGGTCTGTACATTTTGAACTTGACTTGGGACTTGGTCTTTTGTTTTCCACACTCTATCCAAAACTCTAGTTCGACCATCTTATACATTTCAAATTAAAAATTGTATCAATTCAATTAAAAACTTTTTGACAATTTGTCAATATACTCGTTCCGGCCAATTTTAATCAAAAAATATTGACAAGACAGTCTAGTTAGCTTTGGCTGCCCTATCTGGCGAGGGCAGAGCTGAAGTGGATAATTTTTTTAAAAATTTCTCATTTTTTTCTTTCTTTCTTTCCTTTCCCCCAATGGCCAATCTCAGGCAATGGCTGGAGAGGGCTTGCAGAGGATCACTCTCGCCTGGCTCTAGCGATGGCCTGGGCAAGGGTGGAGCAAGCCACAATAAAGGAAAAAAAAGAAAAAATAATTTAAAATTTTAAGGCCCTCGTCGATTGCAATGAATGAAAAAAAGAAAAAGAAAAAAGAAATAAATAATTTAATTTTTTTAAAAAATTAATTATGTTTGAAATTATAAAAATTATCCATGTCAGTACTATTGTTGTCACGTAGGACGACCGATGTCTATATTAGTGATTTGCAATCAAAATTGACCGGATAAAGTAATTTGGTTAAATTAAAAAAGCTTATGATCGAATAATCATAAATGCAATAAGTTTAGAGGATATTTGGGTAATTTTACTCGGGAAGGGAATTTTCTTCCTTAGACCAGGACTCTCGGTGGCTCGAGTGAATCTCAATCGTCGATTTGTGGGTCCTACATGGGCTGTACATGTGGGGTCTCGGAAAAATCAACGGTTATGATGCATTTTGATCCATTGGATCCAGTTTCAGTTAACAATATAAGCCCAGCCCATCCCAGCCCAACCCAATTTGGAAGCCTCTATATAAGACGAGCGCGAACCCAGCCCAACTCGAACATCAACTCTACATAAAGACGACGACCGCGTCCGGGTCGTCGCGAAAACGCCTGTCCTCGAATCTGAACTCCGTCGTTGTCGTCGTCGTCTTCTTCTTCTTCTTCGCTTCGCCTCCGCGTTAGGGTTTAACAGCAAGAATCTCTGATCTCCCAAACTTCCTTTGCTTCGTCCCGACGGCAAAATCCATGGAGACCTTCACCGTCCCTTTCGCGGTGGACCTCTCTAAGAAGCGCAAGATCGAAGACAACAACAACGGGTTCGCGCCGCCGACGGAGCAATCGGACGCCGTCCCCGCGCTCGCCCCCCTCGAGGCTCGCAAGATGATCGAGCCCTTCACCAGGGAGCAGCTCCTCGACGTCCTCCAGGAAGCCGTCATCAACCACCCCGATGTGCTCTACGCGGCCCGCGCCGTGGCGGACGGCGACGCCACGCAGCGGAAGCTATTCGTGCGTGGCCTCGGATGGGAGACCACCACCGAGGGGCTCCGCTCGCTCTTCTCTGTGTACGGAGAGATCGAGGAGGCTGTCGTGGTCCTCGACAAGGCCACGGGTAAGAGCAAGGGTTATGGGTTCGTCACGTTTAAGCACGTGGACGGCGCGCTCCGTGCTCTACGGGAGCCAAGCAAGAAGATTGATGGCCGAGTGGCAGTTACCCAGCTCGCTGCCGCCGGTAATACCGGGTCGAATGCGAATCCCGTGGATGTTTCCAATAGGAAGATTTATGTAGGTAATGTGCCGATTGATATGCCCTCGGATAAGCTTTTGTCTCATTTTTCTGCGTATGGTGAGATTGAGGAGGGCCCACTGGGGTTTGATAAGCTGACTGGGAAGTCGAGGGGTTTCGCTCTGTTTGTATATAAGACGATGGATGGAGCACAGGCTGCGTTGGTGGAACCGGCGAAAATGATTGATGGGAGACAGGTAAACTGTAAATTGGCGATCGATGGGAAGAAGAAACCTGGAGCGGGGCCTATGGGAGGTCCTGGTGCACCTGGTGGGCATGGCGATCGCCCAGTTGATGGAATGGGAATGGGTGGTGTACCTTCCTTCGCGGGGTCTGTTCCGGGGCAGTATGGTCCGAGTTCGGTTGGAGGTTACGGTGGGTTTTCGGGTCAACCATCGGTGGGTCTGATGAATTCGGCTTCAATGGGTGGCCCCAGTGCGACTTCTATGACCAATCAGGCTCCTTCATCCCTGGGCGGTGTTGGTGGTTTTGGTACTGGACTAGGTGGTCCATATGGTGGTTATGGCGGGCATGGGTCTGCCGGCTATGGAGGGATGGGTGGTGCTCTTGGCGGACATGGTTCTGCTGGGGGTTTTGGTGGCGTTGGCGGCGGTTTGGGTGGTGCTGCCGGTGGACTAGGTGGTGTGGCTTCAGGTTTTGGAGGTGCTGCCACTGGATCATCTCTGTATCGGCCTTCAGGTGGGTATCCTGAAGGGGGGAACTATGGCTTGTCATCATCATCTGCTTACCCAAGTCAGACTCAGCAGCCAACAGGGACCTCTCCTGTGCCAAGGGTTCCCCAAGGAGGAATGTATCCCAGTGTGCCTCCTTATTATTGAGGTAATGTCGTATTTGCATTTAATCCATGTCGTTCGTTACCTGCACTTTTTCTTTGTCATGTGGTTACGTACTGTGATTGCAGCTGTTTCCTTGCTAGTTATTATTTGTTTGTCCGTAGAGGATAGTTTTGTTTAGTAGTGTGCTGTTGAATGCCTTAATGCTTTTGTTTCTGTGGCATCATCTATTCATATTCTTGGCTGCTGTACTTTTTTTTGATCATGGCATGACACAGCTATGAATTTAGTGGTTGACCTGGAGTGATATTTTTGAGTCTTGTCCATCTTTTGGTTTTCCATCTTACATTGATTGTGGTGACGCATGTGGTTTGGCTTCAGATGGCTGTCCAGTTAGCATGATGTCTGTTGTCACTTTTCAGAGTCAATTGTTACCATTTTTAATGTAGACCTCCTTATATATTTTACTCTTGCGCTTATGCAGTTGGCTATCTGGGTGCGATGCATTTGCATGTGTTTTCATGCATGTTGGAGTGTACTATGCTTGTGGGCTCTTAAGTGTCATCCATTTTGTGTGATATTTGCACATCCTGCGGATTTCTTTCTGCATGCATTTACTAAGTAGAATTCTTTAAATTAGTACCAAAGCATCTGATTGCTCTATGGATTTTCCTCTTCAAGTCTTATACAGGATACATGTGCACCCCTAAGGCAATAAAATAAAATGGATTAAGTAATTAGTATGGATTAGGGTTTTGTTTGCATAAGCATCTCTGAAGGCCTGGTTCACTGAAGTCTTTAAGCAAAGATATGTTGTCTTTCAATCATTTTGTATGGTATTGCCATGAGTTGTCATTAAAGTGTTGAAGTGTCACCTGACATCACTGTGGAATGGACAAGACTGGTAAATAAAAGCATCCTTAGTTATTCTTCCGGAGTTATTGAATTTGTATTTGACCGCATTGTCCTTATGTATTTTAGCTTGAAGTTTAAGCTTCATGGTTGTGAAATGATGTATTGAGTTGTGATCGATATTTTATTCAGGTGTATGACAGCTTGTTGGGGCAGATGCTATTATCATTCTGGTGATTGACTGAATGCAAACAATATTTCTCTGGTTTGATGAATGCATTAGCTGTGCTTTTGCGGCCTCTTCTTGACTCATCTTCTCCTTAATGATGTGGATCTGACTACTGTTAGCTAAAGCTTCTTCAGATTAGATTTGATATTTTGGAAGCTTCTGTAATATCCGAGCACTTTTCTCGATTGTAGGTGCTTACGAGCAGAAGTGTTGATGTTTAGTGATAGGTTTCTTGTACTCATTTTTATGATTGTTTCCTTTACCATTATATACCCCGTATGGATTTTGGAATTTTTTTTTTTATTGGTGATGGCTGCAAGGATGTTATTCGGGTTGCTTACTTTGGTGATGTCTTTTTATGTGATGATTCAAGTTTGAAGGGGTAAGAAAGAATCCCAAAAGTTTTTTTTTTCCCTCTTTGACTTAGCTATAGTAGAGAATCCTGGTTTTTTCAGTTGGTAGGGATGGCTGTTTTTTTCTCATTTGGTTTTCTAGCCTCGTCTCTCCCTTGTTTTTGCCTATGTACAATTTGGTTTTTGGAGTTCTGGGTTTTGGAAGGGTTCAGATAGTGGTTTCTTAAACACAATTTTTTGGAATATAAACTATAAAGTTCTTTTTTCTCTACTCAACTTCAAGGACATGACTTTCTATATCCCTGAAATCCCTGCTTAACCTTTTCACCATTATTAGGCTGATTTTGTTGACCCTTGGATAATGGCAGCTATACAAATTACAACGGGTTGCTGCTGTGGCAGACATTTGCTTCTGCAAGTCTCTTGCTAGCATCATCATGATTAGTGCCTTTCTTTTGGTCGGGAACTGTGAAACACATTTCATCCAACTTTTTTTATAAAATGCTGTTGCTTTTGGAAGTCATTCTGCAAGTCTGTGATGTCATGCAGCTAGTCTGCTATGCATGGCTTTTGTTTCAAAGAAACTTGTTTCTGTGTTGAGTGTAGTTGCCTGTCGTTATGGGTGAATGCTATATTCTCTAGTTTCTTACTTGGGTGTGGGCAATCCTGTTCTTCTTTATTCTCCCCTGCTTGTCCTAATGCGAGTTGTCGTTGGTGGTTGGGATTTCAAACTTGTATCTTGGTGATGGCGTGGTTCTGGAATACAATTTTGCCTACAAGTCAATATCTGTTCCTCAATTGTTTCAAGATGTTATTTTTATGTTGTGTATGATGCTTCAGCTTGCTAGTTTAGCCTGTCATATGGGTTTAGTCTTGTGCGCTGTTGTTGCAAGTGTAACATTCTCTGGGTACAAGTTTGTTGTCCTAATTATTAAGTCTTTAGTTTTTGCTGGTGCAATATTTAATACACCCAGGGACTAAGCTGAAGTTTGTGGTCTTTATCTCTTTTATCTTGAAGTTGAGCTTGACTTACTGGCATCTGCTTCTTCATATGGTATTTCAAAGGTGCTAAAAATGGGATATTTAGGACGCTGGGGAGAGTGAAATAAGCTTTAGGATGCACACTCTAGTACCATTGTCTGACTAGAGTATTTGTTATGCAATGATCATCTCCTAATTGAATGAGAATGATAAAGGTGATCGAAAGTGCTTGGACAATTTATCCATCGTGGTCTTTAAGATGCTTTTGTGCCTTTGGTGTCACTTTGGATGAACTTATTTTGTTTGATAAAAGGAGGTAAAATATCCCACTCAAATGTCAGAGGGTGCTTATCACTGGTGGGAGCTTATCGAAGTTGTTATGTTGATCATTTTGTAGGATAAGATGGTATTTGGCTGACTTTTCACTAGATGTAGTGGTTGATTCGTGAAAGTTGGATGGGTATTATGGGGATAAATTTTTAGGTGTTTTTGGACCAAAAACTTTTAATCAAAGTAATATGCGTGCACAATGTTAGGGACTTTCTAATTTTGTTTTGGGTTGATGCATGGTTGTTGACTTGGGTGGAGGGAATGGTGTGCTCCCGGAGTGCCCAGAAACTTCTCGCATAATTTGGCCACATTGCTTTGATAGTTTGAATCATCATCTCATTGATATTGCAGAGGTGGTATTTAATTATATACGCATTGATGTCTACAATACTAAGTGAGATGACCCTAATGGTCTTTGAAACTCGGTTGTCAAGTCCCACCTTTCAAGAACTCTTCAGCCAGAGGCATTCCAAATTAGCATACTCGACGATCTACAATTGACAATTTGACATGGTGATGATTTGTTATGCCAATTGCTGTTTAAATGTTGGTAATTCATGTCCATTCGATGTCCGTACGTGATCGATAGATGGTAGTGACTGTCTTGTGAAGCTTTAACTTAATTGTTCTTTCTATATTAAAATATGGTGTTATGAATTGGTGTGGCTAAGCTTAAAATGGAATTGGAGAAATTGGAAGTGGCTTAGTAAGTCATCTTAATCATTTAATGCTTTTGCCTCTCCTTGTTCTTTTCCATTTTTCCTCGTCCTTGTTCATGGGGCATGAGACATGACCCCTTGCGAGTAAGGTCGAGGCCAGGGAAGTTCTGATAGAAGAGTTTCCGCCACCAGAGTTGGATGAATTTCAGGCGATGCGGTTGTTGGAAAATGTCATTCTTTTGTACGGGGGCGAGTTGGATGACTCCTGAAAATTAGGACATAAGCTTGCTAAGTTAGGAAATTTTGTATTTGTAGCACTCGTCAGGGCACTCGGGATGTATCTCATGCGATGCTAGACAAATCATCAATTGTCGTTTGCTCAAAAAGAATTTTGGAAAGTGAGTTTCAGCTACTGAAATCCTGAGACCAGTAATTTTTTCAATATAAAAGTAAAGAGAAATTACACAAAACTCTTCCGAATTTTGGTGATGGCACATGTTTGTACCTAACCTTACAATTGTTACTCATTACCCCTGTACTTTCGTTTTGGTGTAGCCGTAAGGTTTCTGATATATTTTCCGATAGCATGAGCAATGCACACGACTTTTGTGGGCTAGATGTGTATTTTTAATTCATTTTTTTAAAAGGAGATTTCTGTTTTATCATTAATTTCTGTAAAAAATGAAAAAATAAAGAAAATATGGAAAATGAAGTTAATTGATATACTGTTAGAAAAGATAAGTACTTATGCTGATATTGAAAATAAAAGTTGGATGAATATATTAATAGAACTGATGAGATAGTCTAAGAAAAGGAAATACGATTAAGTGAAAGGGGATTTGATGCTAAATAGTGGCATTGGTTATGCATTGTGTCTCGTCAATGTCTATGAGCATCAAGTTCAATATGGAACCACTGGCTTTTTTTCAACCCTCGAGGCTTCCTCCAAGGTGATCATCGTTCCCCTCATCTCTTTATCATAGTGGCAAATGAATTATCAGCCTATTAAATGAAGCCGTGGGTGGAAAGAAGTGTGAAAGGGATTAAACTAAATAGACATTGCGCTATTCTATCTCATTTTTTAGCGCATATTTCCATTATTTTTTTCTAGATGGACGACTTCGAGAATGTTAGGGCATAGACACTATTCTAAATGAGCATTGCTTCGCTTCGGGGCAGGTCATCAACTTGAATAAATTAGGAATGTTCTTTTAGCAGAGATTGTCCACATAGTCTTAAAAAGGAATATGCCGTTGGAATTGAGGGTTCCTGAACTAGAGAAAACAGGGAAGCACTTGGGGATTTCATCGGATTGGGGCAAAACTAAAAAGCAAATGTTCATGTGGATCTTGGCTAGGATAGATATGAAACTTGATCGATGGAAAGAAAAGATGATTTCTAAAACAAGGAAGGAAATACTTATTAAAGCGGTGGTATAAGGTCTTCCGCAATATGCAATGTTGATATTCAAAATATCTATTTCTATATGCCGGGCCAATGAATTTGAAATTGCAACTTTTTCGTGGAAAAATGGAGATTCCAAGTCAGGAATTCATCGGAAGAAATGGGATGTGCTGAAAAGAAAAAAGGACCAAGGAGGATTGGGCTTTCAGGGATTTAATCGTCTTTAAGAAGGCCATGCAAGGAAAACAAGCTTGGCGAATGAACTAAAACTCTTCTGGCATATGGGTACAATACTGAAATTGCTCTATTTCCCAAATAGAAAATTCTGGAATGCTGCAACGAGGGGAGGGAGGGCCGTGGCTATCTCCAAAAACGTGAAGATGAAAAGTGGGACAAAGATCAGTATTAGAGAAGATAAATGGCTGAAAACAGGTGTCACTGGGGGAAAGTCTGTGCAAGGAGTGGACAACCCAAGAGAGAAGCAGAGCTGATTATACAAGAGGATCTAGGATGAACAAAAACTGTATTGGCATGTCTGACAAGTAGACTTGAAGAAATCCTAGAGCAAGACAGAGAAGTTTGGACCTGCACTAAATCTAGATCCTCCACAGTTAAAAATGCCTATGATCAGCTAAGGGGAACAGAGAAGCAGCAGTAATCAGATCAGGAGACCCCGGCCGAGCAAATCGAAACCCTACCTTGTGTTGAAGCGCTCTAGCACTTCCGGTGGAGATCTGAACCGATCTTCACCTTAGAATTCGATAGTTTAACTTTAATAAGTGCATTGACAGGTCGTCATAAGTCACCATAGGCCTGCAAACTTCCTTTTTTTTGGGTCGAAAGGTTGGCAAACTTCAGTTGGCCAAGTCTAAGAACATCAGCATAGTCCATTTACTTGAGGGAAGCAAATCAAGTAGCAAACTTCAGTTGGCCAAGTTGATGCGCACTCATATGGTCGAAGAGGTCGCGTGGCAAATCTTCTCATACATGGGACCCACAACAAGTAAAAGCAGCTTATCAATCTCCGCCTTTGTTTAAAATGTTCTAATTAAAATTACAAGAAATAAAAACGTGTTCAACTTCGCTACCTTCGTCTAGAAAAATTTGAAAGGAAATGATCCCTTGAATGGGAAGGTTACTTGGCAATGGCCCGAACGTAGATAAATATATTAGGAGTGCATTTGTTTCACGAAAAACGTAATGTTTTTAGAAAATATTTTCCGGAAATTTTTTTTCTAGGAAAGTGGCTAGTTTTCCTTTATTTAGTGATGTGTGATTGAAAAAGTTTTCTGGTGTTTGGATCTCATTTGGAAAATAATTTTAAAATGCGTTTGTTTTACCAACCCACACTTGTGGCCTATCACTGAGGCCGGCGACTAGCAGAGGGAGGAAGAAGGAAAAAGAAAAAAGAAAGAAAAGAAAAAATAAAATAATAGTAAATTCAAGATGAGCAATCCTAAAAAGTATTTTACCTTATTTGATTAGAAAATTCACTTTTCTAATTTTATACATGAATATCTTTCTTGATCGAAAAGTATTTTCAGCTGACTTATCATTTTCGGCCAACTAAACGAGTGAAAGTCCGGAAAATAGATTCTAGGAAAATACTTTCTCTCAATCACACACACCCTAAATAATATTTAGGAATAATGATTACAAATGTATTTTGATAGAGGACAAGAATTAGCGACCGTTTTTAATGGTAGAGCAGTCATCCTTTTAGGGAGAAGTGTGTCCTGCTTTAGCATCTAATCTCCTTGTCGACACAAGCCAAGCGAGCTTCTTCCCTCATGCAGCTCTCGGTCTCTCTGTGCGGCGCGCCCTCATCAGCTCAACCTCGGCGCATGACGACGAGGCCGCGCGCTCCTCTGCGGCGACCCTCTCTCCTCCACGCCTCCAGGTAAACTGATCTTGACCGGCTCCCCCCCCCCACGCGCTATCCGGCGGGGCTTCGGGCCCTCCCCCTCCGTCTCGCTCGTGGTCTCCGATCATCGCGTCGCGCGCTGCTTCGTCTTTGGTTTGGGCGTTTACCGAGTCGGAACGGAGTGATCGAGGTCTCGCTTTGAGTGGGGGGCTGGGAGGAGTTCTCCGTGCTGCTGGGTCGCTTGTCGGGAGATTCTTTTTGGTCTTTCTAGTATGGGTGTTGCGGAATCTTTTTGGGGTTTAAGAGGATGGTGCCGTGAGCTTTCCCGATTGCGTCGAGAGGGGTTTCGTGTGTTCCCTGAATTTGTGCATCGTATCGTGATCTCGTGATTGGTGTTGCTCGCAATTTGTTGCCGGCTGCTTCCAGAAGTTCATACTTGACGTACCTAGTTAGAATTATGAATCCTTGGTACGTGTAGAATATCTGCATAAACGTGCTTCGTATTGTTATCTTGATGATTCGAACCGATCATGGTGCCACTGTGCCAGAACACATGTGGAGTACATGTTCTTCTAAGCAGAGTCTAACATGGATCTGTTTCTCTTTGAAGTTTGATTGGCGGCTTGGCCTATTTGAATGAGCCTAGTCAATACCTTCTCCTGGTGTGCACTCCTCTAGTGTTCCCACTTTCCGATGCTTTGTTCTCCGCTGTAGTTTCATGACCTATCTCCATTGCACCAGGATGTTTCTGGGGCCAGCTTTCTGATTTCCGTAACTCTTAATCTGGTTTCCGTACTTACTACTTACTATCTAAGTTTGAGCGGCAGTTGTAGTTGAGTTGTATGGTGTCTTTCTTCTAGTTCGGCTATTGTCTTAGGTCCAATTTCTCGTAGCTATTTGTCTCCCTACCGTAATAACCTTCTTTCATTTTGCTGCCTCTTCTGCTGAGATAATATTAAAAAGCTCTTGCTATTTCTGGCAAAATTCATTAAAATCACCTTAACTGTTGCTCTTCCATTTTCAAATATATTGATAGGGGTAGGGCGACTTAATTTTGCCACTTCGCGCGCTTTCATGTTCTGTTTGACATGTTCTCCTCCTGGTTGGAGAGGTGTACCGCTCCTAGAACAGGATAGAAGATTTATATAAAATTAGGCCCTTCAGTCGCCCCATGCAGTTATCGGTCTATCGATGTGATTGCCTCTCTTGTGAGGTATGGAAAGTACAAGTTTTCGCTGTTTTTCAGATCTCTTCTTTTTCTTTCGTAGAATTGGGTAAAAGAAGATTTACTGATGGTATGGTTATTGTGAGTGATTCGATGTGCTAAAATGACTTTCAGGTGTTCAGCATTTAGCTAGTGGTAGTGACTGGTTTCATAGACTTCCTCATCAGCATACAGGATGTTAACATTGGTGTGGTTTCGGGCATTAATTTTTCTTTGTATGTGTCTTTTTAGGCTCCTCATTCTTGAGTACGAATAGTGCCTCTTGTTCTTCAAGACAAGGAGGCTTTTCCAAGTATCGATTACTGGAAAAAACAAATCAACATCGTAATGGATTTGTCTGTTAAACGTCAGAGCTGGTTTGGCCACTTATACCAAACGCTATGCCAGGAAGGGGATGGGACTATGAAGCAGGTAAAATTCATTTTTTGCGATACTTTGTTCTCTTTTTCTATCTTTATTTTCAGCTTTTCCCTTCTATTTCAGGTAAGATAATTTTAACGTCTTCGTCATTATAACTAGAAAGAATTTTGCATGGTATCTACTATCGAATTCGCTGTTCAGGGATAACACCTTATGAGGCATGCATGTATTATTTGTGTGGTTTAGGTACATGCGTGTTATATTTCCTCTAGACTCTACTATGTAGTTTGTTCCTTGATGCTGAACACCTTTCATTCAGGATTTTGATCATATCGAAAAGCAAGTAGAAGCTGCTGGTGAGAAAGTGAAAAGTTTTTGCTGTAAAATCTTCCGTGATGTGCAACCTCCTGAAAGAGATGTCATGGGATTCGACCTTCAATTGGATTCAGAAGGAGATACTTCCACCAGTGGCAGTGCTAGTTTAATGAAAAGTGTTGAAAATGAGCCTGGGAAGAGTATCCCAAACCAATCGCAGGTGGTCTCCCCCTTAGAGAATTATGTGGGTCATGAATTGAGTGAACCTGATCCTTTTATAGTTGACCCCCAGTTGGATCCTCAGAGAAGTATGCCAGTGGTAGAAAGTAATGATGAACATGTCCAGGTGATCACAGAACAATTGCAGGTGACCTGCCATTTGGACCCTTTTCAGGAACCAATTGAACCCCAAACTTTTAATTGCTCTTCTCAGAATTCGATTGGGGTGCCAGCGTCTTTCTCAGATGTGGGGCTACCAGATGAACCTGCTTCTTTTGATAGTATAAAGAACCAAGGACGTACAATGGATGATCCTAGTCAGGAACCAGAACAAAGTGAACCTCAAACTTCTGATCCCTCCTCTGACAATTTGTTTGGGGTGGCGGAGTTTTCCTCAGATTTGGGACATACATTCAACGACCCTAGTCAGGAGCCAACTGGATCTCAAACTTCTTATCCCTCTTCTCCAGATTTGTTTGAGGTGCCAGAGTCTTCTTCAGAATTGGAATTGCTGGACATAACATTTACTTTTGATAGTGTGAAGAACCTACCAGGACATTATTTTGACAACTCTAGTTGGGAAAAAAGCGAGTCTCAAACTCGTAATCCCTCTTCTAAGAATTCATTTGAGGTGCCAGGGTCCTCAAATAAGGTACTACTGGACGAACCAACTGCTTTCAGTAGTGTGAAGAACCAACAAAGACATATAGTCGACTCCCCAAGGGCTCCAGTGTCTGTGCATTTACTTGAGGGTGGACGGTCCAAATCATCTTTGGGGCATACAGATGGTGCCTTGACTGAAGAAAAGGCTGCCAAGTTTTTGAAGGAAAATGCTGTGCAGGGGGAGCCATCTGCACCTGAGGTGTACATAATCTCTTCTGTTGAAAAGGATTTATGTGAAGCTGATTTTCTGTCCATTCATCTCCCTAGCGAGGACAATGCAAACACTGAAAGTTTAGCCCCAAACAAGCTTTTGCCTGCAAATTCAGTTCATGCTGAGGTGGACCTTGTCCCTTCTGACAACTTCACAGTCGAAACTGTGTGCAGCATTGGTGCTTCAAATACGAACGCTTCATCTGATATGTCTTCACCAGTTGCATCTCATGAGGAAGAGGCAAAGACAATGGATCTTGAAAGCTTAAGCTATCCAGTGGAAGTTGAATCTTATGAGTCGGAAATCTTGCCTGAAGTTTCCTTTCAAAGAGCGAGCTTTTGTGATGATGAAGTTGGTATTTTGAGAAGTATACCTCATAGTTCCAGCTTTACCCCATTCTCCCTATCAGGTGGAAGCGGTTAGTATTTTCAGATTTCTCTGGTTGCAAAATCTTTACATCCTTTCCATTCATAGATGATTTTAAGTTTTCACGAGCCCCATATCCTTCTACAGTGGAAAATGCCTCTGGGTTTAGTGACGCTACTTCTTTGACTGAAGCCTACAGAAAAGAGCACATTCAGTTCGATGAGTCTGCTGAATTTCATGATCTCTCGTTCTCTTCAGGTAAGGATCCATCTTCAGACGCAAGAATGGTCCTTTTCTAAACCATAATGTGCATCTTTGCCTGCATATGTTGTTTTTGGAAGTGGTTAAATTGTATGCTCATGTCATTATGTGACATACAGGTAAACTTTATTAGTGGTCCCAAAGTTCGGTACTATTTTCAATCTGGTCTAAGTTTTGATTTCAATCACGCAATGCACTAAATTGCAATTGATGCATTCTCACTAGAATCTGGCAAATTTCCAGCAAAATGTTAATGTGGTGGCCGCATGGTGCTGACATGGCATCCAATTGAGCTTCATGTCAGCCTAACTCAATCGCATGATCCTTGCAATCCATGGCAGAGGAGCTGTGCAACTCTATGCAAGCCACGGAAGAGGGTCACAGGACCTTCGGCCGCTGCTGTTACGTGCAAAGGGCTGACAACCCTCAACTGCACGTGGCGGTCCTCTGCCTCTCTTTTTCTTCTTTCTTTTTTCTTTTTTAAGTTTGTACTTGTTTTCTCAAGTTCTTTAAAATTTCTTAAGTTAAGACTGAGTAGGGAGTATTGTCATTGTCATGTGGTTGCCAAGAGGTCATGTCAGCAATTCTTAAAAACATTGATGGGATCTCGGTCAAATTACCTAAATTGCAAAAACGAAAGTTTGGACCGGATGATATCCCTTTACTGACTTTATCCATGTATATCTCTGTTTGGCTGTGCTATCTTTTGATTGTCTTTCTGATTGTGCATTGATTATCTTGTGAATTCATGCTTATGTAACTATCCTCGACATTGATATCATAGATAAGGACAAGGAGGTGAAGCTTGAGGAGAGCCATGTTACTTTGGATTCTCGTGAACTGTATGCTCTGTCTCTTAGGATCCAACGGCTCCAACGGCTCAGATCATTCAAGGTACTCTCTCTCACTCCACGTCACGCAAGTACATGCATTATGTTTGTAGAATTTGGATGAGCTTCCATTGTAAATTTTAGTGTTTTCTGATATTGTTCACCCTTATCTTTCAGCATGTTTTCATTCTAGACATCAATCTCACTTTGATTCATTTCGATATGTTATCATAAACTTGTCTCTCATCCCCGCTAAATGATGTTCCTTTTCCTGTTCCATTCAGAAGAAGATCATGGATACCTTTGCTCCAAGACAAAGGACAGTAAAAGAATATGAACAGCTTGGAATATGGTATGAAGACAGTCAAATTGACAGCGAGTTTAATCGGGAAATAGAACATACTACTTCACCATCAGCAATCTCAGCCTTTTCAGACCGTCAGAGTTCGCAAGAACATCAGATTGACTCTGATTGGGAACTATTATAGGTCATACCTATACTTCCTTAGGTAAACTGCATTAGAAAGGTAAACCCGGCTTTTTTTACCATAGGGATGAATTAGTTGTGGATGATCCACTGTGACATTAATAAGTATGATTGTCAGGAGGTTTTGTCGAAATATGGAGATGAAAAATAAAAATAGTCTGAAAGAAGATACAGCTTCCTATAGAAATGATATACTCGTAAGCAGGTATCTTTTGTTTTTCCTATGGCTACATGTAACGTTTTTGCACCCAAGTTGTACTTGTTTTCGTCGGGAATTTCAGACCTGGACTTTGCTATGATTGGAGCTATAGAATGGTTCTATGATCTTTTAACAAGTAGGTGTACAAAATTTCATTCCATGCATCAGGGAGTCCTGGTAAACACCAGTGGATGCAATCACCAAACGTTTTGGGGTCAGATCTCTGCTCCTTTGTCAAGAGCTTGCCCTTCCGCTCCGTAAAAACTGATGTGTGAGCATCTTTTCTGAACTCCGACATCTGAGTTATGTTCAACAATGTTACATTGATCTTTAGCTGTTGGACGGCATGATGTACTATTTTCATGATCTCAAGGTTTGATCCACTGCCCCAGTATGGACCCTGGATAGGGTATGATTCACTGAAGCAGTTTTCATCACTTCCAGGTCTCCATTCCCAGCTCCTGCAAACCATAGGAATAACAGACTAATGACTATGCTTGAATAGATTGTATGTGCACAACTTTGGTTGACTTCGGTACCTAAGTGAGAGGAAACTGAGAATGCTCGGACCGAACAGCAAACAGAACAGCAATTTGACTAATATGAATACTGGGTAGAAATATAACAAGCATTTGAAGCATAAAAACGTCACTTCTGAAAGGTTTCCAATCATGAACCATTGATACTTGTTTAAACAAATCCTCAGCATAAACAGCGTAGAAATGATGGCTAATTTTCCTTCGTATGGGCATAACTTTAGCCCCATGCGCCATCTACACAGTGACGTTGGAAAGGGTACTCACCACAAATGTGTTGGGGACATGCTCATGAAGAAAACCTTTTGCTTTTGAGGGTCAATGCTTGATTCTAGCCAATTTGCCCAAGTTTCTAAAGCCAATCTGTATGCATCGGTAACATTGTATTCTCGGACATTGTCTCTCGAACCATATCTGGTAGAAGAAGGCGAACTACACCCGGTCACAACTATGGTTCCAGATTGGTTCGACTTTAATCAAGTAGAAGCGACATAAGAGTTGAGTGTATAGCAAGAAAGATCACGGACTGTTATGATGAAGAGCTCACGTTGCATTGATCAGAGGCTTGTGCATCCACCACACGTAGCTCTCGAATACGAGCACGTCAACTCCCTCCCAGTACTTACTGTGATTGGCGACCGAGTCAAGCTTGACTAGCCTCTTGTGGACGGTATGATTCGTGGCGTGATCTGATATCGATTCGACTATAAATGGAGCCCAGTAATACTCGATCGACGCATTGTAATCCTGCCACGTGTCAAGAAAAATGCCAGATCAAGCCTTAGGTTTTCCCTTCCAGAGTGTCGAGAGAATGTCCGGATGTACCTTAATGGTGAAAATCTTCCTGGGAGGGACTCTCCGGAGTAACCTCTTTCCTTCAGGGATTACAGATTGCACCAGGCACACCATTGAGTCAAATTGGGCTCTTTGTATTGAGTCACCAACAAACATCAGTCTCTTGTTCCTTATCATCTCCAGCATCATCAATGGGTCAAAACTGAGATATAGCCAACGAAACGGTAGGTACTCAACTTAGAATTTCTACGGGAACTGACAAATATGATTGATATACAGGAAAAAGGAAATGGTCATGAGAGAATTGAAGTCACCTTGGTAGGTTGCATCCATTCGGTTGCCACCTCCAGTTCTGGTACATAGAATCAGGCCTGCCATTTTTTAGGCAAGTCACCTGTTTCACCAAGTAAGGGCACTGGTCTTCTCTATAAAGAGGGTACGACACATTGTCCCACACCCACCGTCCCTCGAAAATGTCGCACTCGTCTTTGATCCGATCTTCAGGTAATACTAGCATCGGCACTCTATGCTCACGGCCTGCGGGGTCGCCGTGAAGCCAGAAGGCATTGCTCTTGTAGCTCCTCAGGTTGTCCAAGACTAGTCTCGCCGTTCCTATGACGAGAACCGAGGCTAGTGCCAGAGGGAAGAGGGATTGGATTTGGCGGTCGAGCGGGGATTTCGCCTTCATCTTCGGATCAGAAGATGAAGAAAGAAAATGGTGAAATCCAATCTCAGGTTGTGCATTCTCTTGGGGGTGTCTGGAATTAGTACCTTGAATCTCAAGCGTGCGTGGCCTATGCTTCATGCAACCACCGGTTGGTAATCTTGAGCTTTAGATGTCCGTTTTGCCATGACAGGTAGAGTCGTATACTTGTCTTTGGGACAACCACCTCTGACGTCGCTGCTGCTCCTGTTTCTCCCTCCATTTTCTATCCTACTCGTGTTTCTAGCGACGTTGGAGATGCTTCTTCTTTATCTGGGGATTGATTAATTTTCATTAATTTTTCGAAATTTCGAAATTTAGTTTTTGGTTAATATTAACATCTCGAAACTTTATGTACATATACTCCTCACCGGATCATTTGAAGTTCTTGTCTTGGTATATGATGTTTGGGCGAAAAGGTAGCGCAGAAGCAGAGCATGCCTTTCTGTTGGACATAAATCAATGTTCCACGCTTTAAAAGCAGGATGTAGTGTTCTTTGTGTTCCCATCAATGTTTAAAATATTACTGGAATTTTTAGAAAATTATCAAAAATCATATATTAAATATACGTGTCAAGATTTGAGTATCGTGAAAGTTTAAAAAAGTTCAGATCTTAAAAAAGTCGGATTGCGTAAGTTGTAAGATTGTGATTATATGAAAAATAAAAGGTTGATCAAGAAAGAATAGCGATAAAGGACAAATTTACATAGTTGTTTTATAACTAATTTTCACAATTTTTTATTAAGTGTCAAATATGATACACGCATTTTAATGCTCGCTTGAAGTTCATTGTATTATTTTGCAAATTGCTTATGTGAATTGGTCGGAAGCATTATCCGCATGTTAAATTCCGTATAATTTACTTAGTTATTTGAGAAAATACCAAAAATTTGTTTGACTTATTAATGATTTCATATTAAAATAGTAAAAAATGACTATTTACTGCTGCACTTTTGTAATTTTGATCAAAATTAAAAGGGCTTCCGAAGTCATTTATAAAAGAGATAATGACACAAATAATTTATAGACTTTGACTTAATATGTAGTGTGAAAAAGAGTAAATTAAACACGTACCAAAAGTTCAGGGATCACATTAACTAAATTAAAATTTTGTGGACGACGTTGCATTTATTGAACAAAGTTAAAGATCATGGACCAAATTATAAATTGAATTAAAGTTTATGGATTATTTATGTCATTTAACTTTTATAAGAAAGAAAAAAAAAATTCCAACAAATTAATATCTCCAGCTCTGAGCTTGTCTCTTCCCTCCCTCTCCATTTGCTCTGTTCCACTCGTAACCACACTCGCAAACAGCACTTCTTCAACCATGTTCAGCGGCGGAGCGTGTAGCCTCCGAACCTGTTGCCTCCGCCCTCTGCGTTCCCCAATCGAGCCTCTTCGTCGGAGTACTCGGTCGCGCTTGGCTTGCCGCCGGCGGTTCTCCGCCACGGCCTGCTCCGTCCCCAGTTCGGAGGCTAAACAGAAGGTCATCGTGATCTCCGGGCCCACCGGAGCTGGTAAGAGCAGGCTGGCGCTGGAGCTCGCCAAGCGGCTCAACGGCGAGATCATCAGCGCCGACTCCGTACAGGTATGGGTGTTGCTCTCTCCGTAGTTTCAAGTTTATTGTGGCGAGGGTAGGAATGCGGAATTGTTAGTCATGGATGATGAGTTAGAAAAAAATTTAGTTGCTTCTTAGGTATAGTGTGGTTAGGCTCAGGATTCTTTTATTTGTGTTGGCTTGATGTGGGAAAGTGAGGGATGAATCAGGCAGTACTCAAATAGTGACAGTAATTTTCTTCTGTTCTTGCTGTTCTGTAAAGACAGGTGCTCAGCTGTATACCTTAGTAACACAACACTGGGATCAATAGTTCATACTACTTGTTTTGTTCTCTGTTGCATGATCAGTGTATTAAAATTTTATGGAATAGCTTTATTTGTCTTTTGTCAGTGGTCGGCTATATCTGTAACGGGATGGGAAAGGGTGTTATTGCGCTTATGTAAGTTTGGTCGCGAATGATAAACTATCTTCAAACTCGTGGACACAGACAATCCATCTTCAGTGAGGCGAATATGCACGCTGCGGTTATGTAATCGTGGATCTTTATTCTCTTTTTGAGGAAAAAATCTCTTCCATCTTTGTTGCAGGTCTATCGAGGTCTTGATGTTGGATCTGCAAAGCCTTCCCTGAGGGACAGAAAGGTGCATAGACTATTTGCTAATTTATTACTTCTCAAATCGAAATTCGTGTTCTGACAATGTCGATTGCACTTCACCCAGGAGGTGCAACATCATCTAGTTGACATATTACATCCGTCTGAAGGTATATTGCCTAATTTTGATTAATGCTGACAACAAGACTTGTTTCATTTGCCTGTCGATGGAAATTATTCCACGAGCTTGCTATCTTAACATTGTGGCAGATTATTCTGTCGGCCAATTTTTCGAGGATGCAAGGCAAGCTACTACAGATATTCTCGACAGTGGTCGTGTTCCTATAGTTAGTGGAGGAACTGGTCTGTATTTGCGATGGTATGTTTCTTCATACGGTTGGCTTCAAGAGCTTTGCGTGGCTTGTGTTTCTTATTCTGCTTTTTCTATGAAAAGCTAATCCAAGAATTTGGTATCCCAAAGTTCTCCCGAATGCCTGATGTGGAGTTCTCCCGTCACTTCTAATTTTTTAGTATCTATTCAGTGAAGTCTACTGTTCTGAAGTCTGCTTTGGCATATAGAAGCTAGTTTGAAATACATCGGTGGATGATCAATTCTTGGGAGTATGATATTCCTGGGATTAGATGATCTCCTGCTGGCTTATTTTTCTAAATGCACTCGCCTGTTTTTACACCATACATTGATGGAAGCCTGGGATAGCACTCTAGTTGATCAATCAAAAAGAGTTTTTGGGTTTCAAACCTAGTCTTTTCTTAGAGAATCGATTGCATGGGTATTCAGTCATAGTAAGATTATTGTCTGTGTATTGTTGTTTTAAACTCTTGAATGGTCTTCTTATATCTGTTCAATTTATTGATATTTGCAAGAAGTTAGTGCCAACTTCAGTGTCACATCGACATTTTGCAAACTGTTAGGTATATGTACGGGAAGCCAGATGTTCCGAAAGCCTCGCCAGAAATATCATCCGAAGTCTACTCAGAGCTTGCAGACTTGCAGAAAAATGGTGATTGGAATGCAGCTGTGCAGTTGGTGGTCAAAGCTGGAGACCCAAAGGCCCGGCACTTGGCTGCAAATGATTGGTACCGCCTCAGGCGTAGTCTTGAAATAATTAAGGTTAGTCCGTGACACTATCTTATGTAAATTGACCATCTTCTGAGTAAATCATAATTTCCTTTTGCATTTACTTAAAGTCTTTTACCTGATCAGGGAACTCATATTATGCTTTTCTTTCTGTATGGTGGCTGATAGGAAAGGCTTGGGCCATCTTGGTTCTATGTAATGTTTTAAAATGTTGATAATGCATTTGGTGTTCTCTCTTTCCAACAGTCCAGCGGAGCACCTCCATCCGCTTTTCAGATACCTTATGACTCACACAAGGAGAAGTTCCAATCCAACATGAGTGACGGAAGTCAAGAAGTCAAGTCTTCTGTTACGTTTGAGGAGATTACATCGAAGGATTTGGATTACGATTTTATTTGCTTTTTCCTCTCAAGTCCAAGAGTTGATCTGTATAGATCGCTAGATCTCCGATGTGAAGATATGCTTTTAGGTATGCAATGTCATTTGAGGGAATCGATTCTTCATCGTAGGGATGTTGAGCTCTGCCTTTTAGAGAGAGTTCTTTTCTTTTCCTTATTAGTACATGTTTGCACCCCCTTAACAGCTATAATGAATCCCAACTTCTGGAGAAGTTTAGCATGTCATGAATATGAAGCACAGTTTATGTACTTAATCGCATTTATCGTGTAAGAAATTTTAGATGGCATGTTTAGCAGGGAATGACGGAATTTTGGCGGAAGCTCGATGGCTTCTCGACGAGGGTCTTCTCCCAAATTCAAACTCTGCAACTCGAGCTATTGGTTACAGACAAGTAAGGAATCTGATTTGTGATGCACAGCCAGCCTGTGATTTCCACCTTCGTTAATGCACTTTAGTGACAATCTTTGCTGTTTTTGGCCATCATTTCATTCCAACTCTGGCTTTCTTCTTTTCTTTCGCTTTTTATGCTAGAGCTATTGATTTGATTACAGGCAATGGAGTACCTGATGTGGTGTAGGCAACATGAAGGAGGGACTTCTGCACGGGATTTCTTAGCTTTCTTGTCAGAGTTTCAGAAAGCATCCAGGTACATACGTAGCAATCTAGACATGAGTGTCGTATGCTAATTAAAGTCGACCGTTAAAATGGTTGAGTTTATTGTTTCTTTATTTTGCTGAACTTCACAATCAGTGTGTTTTAGCTTCTTGTGTTACATGGCCTACAAGTATGGAGCTTTATTTTAATGTTGAGGTAGGCATGACTTCTTGTTAGGGTCAAATATAGGCATCAAGCTTATGTGTGTGTAGTAGTGAGGAACTGCAGGGGTTGGGGAGCTCCTTTCTCTTCTCTGATGCCTACAATAATTGAGTGGGAAAACTCTCTCTCTCTCTCTCTCTCTCTCTCTCGTTGAGAGCAGAGATAGGGAGTTGGGAACTTAAATGGAAACGGGAACAATCTCCTGATTGGATTATGTTGTACTTGGACATTTTTTGATATGTCTGCACAATTTTCCAGACACAGAATTAGGAAACACCAAATTTAATTTGTATATATTATATAAAATGCTCTTCTTTAATTTTCCTATTTTACTTTTTTCCATTGAAAATTCTTATTTGAAGTTATAACGATGAGAAATGCAGGTGGCACTTGCAATTGGTATTATGTCTACCACAAGCATGATTAATTGATGATAATTATAGTATCGCCTGTTCTTTAACAACTTCTTCCTGTTTTGTTGATGAAAGAATCTTTGCCTCATGCAGAAATTTTGCAAAAAGGCAGATGACATGGTTCCGGAATGAGCATATTTATCACTGGCTTGATGCTTCTAAATCGTTGGTACGTTTGACTGCTTTACATTCAAATGATACTTTGAAGATATTGTTTGTATAACGTATGCAACCACGCTCGATTACTTCGGCATATTGAGTTTGTCTAGAGTTGCTAATATACAATTAAGTTCTCATTGCTGAAAATTCTATATCTACATGTTTCAAATAGCCAAAAGAAAAAAAAAAAAAAAGGCAAGGTCCTTATGACTTTCTCTTTGCAAGGAATAGGGTCATCAATCATCATCGAATCCATAGCATTCTTCACTTGTTTTTGTTATTCTGGGTGTGCGTCATGAATGGCAGTCCATAAATCTGTAGGTATTTTGGCTTTTTCAGATGTCTGCTCTTCAGGTACGCCTCGTCCATTTTCTCTGAAGAAAATAGTAACTTAATGTAATAGGATACCACTAAGCTATATCTCTAGTTTTTACTTTGTTTTATAATAATGCTTGCTGGTTGTAGCTATTCAATGTAGGAAGGCATGAGAATTACAGAGTGAGCAGCATACTTAGCAATGCGTTGTAAACTTAACATGTTGGAGAGGTTGAGTGTGTCCTGGAAAAATAAGCAGTCTCCTGTGATGGATATTCTCCATACATGTTAGCTTTCGTTTTTCTGGCTACCAATTTCTCTAAAGAATAGACTTTGCAGGAAAAGGTTCTCAACTTCATTTGTCATGCGTACCATGACCAAACTGGAGAGCTTAATGTACCTGAGTCACTTAGAATGAAGAAAGAAATCTCGGGCCGCCGAGAAGATGCCGAACTTAAGGCATACCATACCAAAAACAGGTATTAGTCAGAAAGACAGTGTTGGTGCAAATGTTCGCTGCATTATCTGAATGTGATCTCTTTGCATGTGAAGGCATTTCGTTTCTCGCGAAGATTGTTCAGATATTCTAGATTGGATCAGGAGAACCCAGGGATCAACAGAAAGAACTTATTCATTCTCCTGAGTGAACCTCCTTTGGTCGTCATGACCTCACAGAACTCAGATACATGGTGACCATTCTTCACTGACCTTCAGGAGGTGCATTATTTGTGCTGTTGCTTTTTACCAATATCTTTGTTTCCTCATGATATTGGATTTACCATAATATGCTTGCTGATTCACGCCGCAGCAAAGGATGCAAATCTGTTTTTTAAGTATCACTTGAAGAATCTTAACTGAGAGTCAAAGCAAATGTAGATCTTTCTCCAAGAGAGCCAATGTTCCAGGAAAAAGACCATTTACAGAATCATTCGACCAGCTTGCTTATATATTGAAAGGTCTTTCCTGTCCTTCTGTCCATTTCCTTGATCATCTGGTCAGGTGTGCGAGTGGGGTAAGGTGTATTGCCCCAACCTCTCTCCTTGGTTTGGACGTCGACAGGGAAACGAGCGTCATCGTCTACCACACATGCTAGAGATTAAGTCTGTGGGTATGTGAGTACCTTTTCCCTCCAACATGGGTTCGTTCTGAGCAGCAGATTCATCGACATTGGCTCATCTGCATTGGCCTCTACTGTTGCAATTAATTGGACTTTCCTATTGTCACCTTATGTTGGAGTCATTCGTTTGGCTTCTCTTCCCAATCTTGTAACATTAATTGCTTTCGGAATGAAATCTTGTACTTCTAAATCGAGAGCCGGCCGATAATCTGGGCAAAGTTTCTCGATACTTTTTCCTTTTTAGAGCAAGCGATCAAAGAAACCCTCAGAAATCGTTAGCAGCAGGATCGTGTGAAGATTCGATCTTGGAATCTGACTGTCTAGTCCATTTGTTCACTGTCTTCCTATCAAGATTTCGATCAGGCATCTGAATTCGCGTTCGAGCTATCATCCTACCTATAGATATGAAGCATCTAAAACTTCTGTCGCCGACTCGGTACAGCAAAAATAAGCCTAGTAATTGCTCCAGTAAGTAAAACTAGTTATGTTGCTTTGGACTTGGCTTTTGAAGCTCTTAATGCTACCAAAACATCAACATGTAAAGCCTCTTTACGTTAGTTCGGGAATGGCCTTTCTCTTGGTTTGATTGCTTGGTACGAGCAAGAGCTACACGAAAGGGGTAGGTGAGGATTCTCCAACGCAAGTCGTCGTGTGCAAAGGGGTCCTTTTCAATTTGAGTATCTAAGCTATTGCCGGGGGACCAATCGTGTCTGCTTACGGCTAAAAGATAGATTCCACCTAAAAGCTAAAGTTTTGTGATTTTGACATGCACGAACAATTTCCCATTTTACCTTACCCAAAAAAAAAAAAACAATTTCCCATTTTTAATTTACATTGGCAACTTGTGTTCCTGAAGTTCAACGCTGTCAAAAACTCGTTGCACGTTGGAAAAAGATCGACTATTTGGTCAATTTGCTTCTTGCACAATGTCTGATATGGACTAATGCTTGTAGTGTACACGCGTCTCTTTCCGATTGGCTCTGCTTCGTATTCGAGACATCGATAATAAAAAAAAAATTAAAAACAAAGAGACCGGGAGAGAAAAGCTTGGGATGGAGGAAGGTTCGTTGATCCTCATTCAACATGGTAAGAGTTTGAAAACCCGCAGCACAACAATGATTTGAGATTGCATGTGTTATACAATTCCAAATGTTGTTGGTGACGTGAACTTTCACAAAAGAAATAATATGCAGAAAAGATTACAACATAATAAATATTCACGCCAATTAAAGTTTGCGTGGAATTTTATTCAAAATAAACTCAAATCCCATCACATGAGATCACAGATAAAGAAAAAAAAAAGCACGAACTGTAAAATTGTGATATTTACACAATCATAACATGAACACATGCTAACATTTCGAGTTCAATTATGTCCGGACATAAGTGTCGGATGTCGGGAAAATCAATGAAATCCAGAGCATGCATTTCGAAAAGGGCGGCCATTTTAATTTTAATTTTTTTGTCATTTTGAGATAATAATCGTTATATTTTAAGGCAGCGAAAAAGAGAAATTACATATTCTTGTTCTTCCTCGAGACCAACCATAAATATTGGCGGACAGACGCCAAGTAGAGTCGGACTCCTCGAGACTCGCACGCATCTCTCTCTAGAAGAAGAAGAAGAAGCAGCAGCAGCAGCAGCAGCAATGAGGACCGCCGTGTTGAGATCTCTCCGATCGTCGGCGGCGGCGGCGAGGCCGGCCCCCGCGAATTCGCACCTCCTCCGCCGCGGATTCAGCTCGGAATCCGTGCCGGAGCGCAAGGTTGCCGTGCTCGGGGCCGCCGGCGGGATCGGTCAGCCGCTCTCGCTCCTCATGAAGATCAACCCTCTCGTCTCCAAGCTCGCTCTGTACGATATCGCCGGCACTCCCGGTGTCGCCGCCGACGTCAGCCACATCAACACTAGATCTGAGGTACTCGAATTTTTTTTTTATTTTTTTTGCCTCCTCCCTCGTTTTAGATCCTCTCTCGCTCCCGAATTTCGTGTTTACTCCTTCAGAAATCTCCGTCTCGACTTGTGTTTTCCGATACACGAATTGTTGAGTAGCTTTACGAGTATGAGTGCCGTTAGGACTTCGGAGCTTGTCGATCGGTGTCGGTCAATAAGAAGATGTGGAATTCACCTGAGGCCGCACTAACATGTGTAGTTGGCCTCTCAAATTTTTCTTCTTTGTGGATCGCTTCGAATGGAAGTCTTTAATGCAACAGTTAGTAGGAGTCTTTGATTGTTTGATACTCTGTCGTCAGACTCATCCCAATCGTAGGACAATTCTAAGGGCGATTCTACTAATGACGAGCGTGTCTACTGGGACTTGTTTGTGTCAAAGTGACCACATACCAGTTTCATGTTGAATGCTATCCGCTGTCATTTCCTCAACTGTTGTTGTAAGTTTTATTGATGATGTTGCCTCCTTGTAGGTTGCTGGTTATGCGGGTGAAGATCAGCTAGGACAAGCTCTTGAGGGAGCAGATCTGGTTATCATTCCGGCTGGTGTGCCAAGAAAGCCTGGAATGACTCGTGACGATCTCTTTAACATTAATGCTGGCATCGTCAAGTCTCTTTGCACTGCTATTGCAAAATACTGCCCCAGTGTGAGTATAATCAAATTCTTGCTGGAATGAATAGATAAAAGTGAAATCTTCTACCTCTGTCCCGCTCTCAATTCAGTTCGCCTCTGTGGGAATCGCATATAGTAGATAATAGCATGTAGATTATAGCTGGTTATTGTGCATCTTGTGGGAACTTGTTTCTGATAGCAGGTCCCTGTTTAACCATGGCACAACTGAGTCTCCCTTATGATATTGCTCACTTCCCTATTTCTTGAATCTGAAATTCAGAATGCTCATTACTCCAAAATAGGCCAGAGATATTTTGACATGCATGGTTACCATCTTGTTGTGCATCTGATTCGAGTATCTGACTAGAAGGAAATTACTCATTCGATCAGGCAATTGTGAATATGATTAGCAATCCCGTGAACTCAACAGTTCCAATTGCTGCTGAGGTATTCAAAAAGGCTGGAACATATGATGAGAGGAAATTATTTGGGGTAACAACCCTTGATGTTGTGAGGGCCAAGACTTTCTATGCTGGAAAAGCTAATGTACCAGTCGCAGGTACTTATATGTATCTATAGAACTTGATTCTTTTTTTCTATTCCATATCATCATATTTGACCTTTAGTTTCTTACTATTGGAGAGAGTACTTGTCCATGTTTTGTCCTTTAATTATCGTTGTCTGCTGCCTTTTTCACAGGGGTGAATGTACCCGTTGTTGGAGGTCATGCTGGCATAACTATCCTCCCGCTATTTTCACAAGTTTGTCCCTCTTATCTTGAAAGTCAAATAAATCATCACGGATATCATATTCACATAACCTAGCAAGATCTTTCTCTGTAAACTCTTTTTGGCATAGGGTTCAATTAACTTGTATTTAACAGGCCTCTCCACAAGTCAATTTACCAGAAGATGTTATCAAGGCACTTACCAAAAGGACCCAGGATGGAGGAACTGAAGTAGTGGAAGCAAAGGCTGGAAAGGGTTCTGCCACACTGTCTATGGCGTAAGTCTTTCCTTTTATATCACTTCTTGACAACACTGGTTTCACTGTAAAAGCCAACCAAACCTGTTTGTAAAGTTCTTCATGTTTCGCTAACATGTCCCTTTATGATTGTAGCTATGCTGGAGCAGTATTTGCTGATGCTTGCTTAGAGGGACTCAATGGAGTTCCCGACATCGTACAGTGTTCATTCGTGCAATCTAGCATTACGGAACTGCCCTTCTTTGCTTCTAAGGTTGACTCATCTTAACGTCGTTAATTCTCTAGATAGGTCTAACTATACTAATGTAAATGATGGATCTGCTGTCTGTTTTTGGTTTAGTCCCCGTCCCTTTTCTATTGTTTGGTGTTTTGATGTTTATAGTTTGTTATTTTGGTTGGCTAGCCTTGTTACGTTGATAGGATGATATATGTTATGCATTCATAGCTGGCATAGATACATATTCACCAGCATACACCTTGTGGTTAAGATAGTATTAGTTTCCTTGTCATGCCTCCCGTGCTAGTTTGAGTTATTTGTCATTAGAAAATGAGGTGTTGGAGTGACGCTGCGTGACTGGGATCTCTGGATGGATGTGAGGAGATAGTTTTGGTTGCCATAGTCCTTAATTGTATTAGAACCTCGCATTCCTGTAAACACCAATCATGCATCTTTGTTTTGTAACCATCCTACAATATGTGCAGGTTCTGCATCTTTGTTGGTTTTGTAAGTGGAAATCACTTTCTCAATATGTATTGTGTCATTCCTGATTGCTTGAGGATGAAAATTTGTGGACCAAGACTTCATATTACTTTTAAAATCATGTGGACTACGTTAATTTTCAGCCCAAAGATGTCACTGTACATGTGCAAGCGTGCTTACACAACCCTTGTTTCCTTTTCAGTTTTTTTTTTTGGTCGGATTTCCTCTTCAGTTCACGTGCATTAACTTCTGCCTCTTCTATCATCTGTTTAGTGGTTTTCATGGAAAGATCACCGGAACCAACAATTGCGACATATTTGTGTGTGTGCAGGTGATTCTTGGAAAGAATGGAGTGGAGAAAGTTTTGGATTTGGGTCCTCTCTCTGACTACGAGCAAGAAGGCTTGGAAAAGCTGAAACCCGAGCTCAAAGCATCAATTGAGAAGGGAATCAAGTTCGCGAACGAAAATTAAATTAACCAAATCATTAGCTGATCAAACCAACCAATGTTTCTAGAAACCTGTTGGAATTTTGCTCCGTTTCTCATTGTTGAGTATGTTGCAGTTTACACCGGCTTGTGCTATTTCCGATCTGAGTAGGAGTTACAAAGACGGTATGTGTTGAATAAATTTTACAGGAGCAGCCTAGATAGACCTCAATGTATTTTGAGGGGAGTATTTTTCAACTGTGATTTGAAGAGCGAGGAATGACATCGCATTTATCACTTTCCCGTGATGTCGAATATCTTACCGTAAAGACTTTCCACTTATGGATAATGACTTTGTCTATGAATTGACATTGCAAACTATGGAATCTCGGTTATTATAGACAAATGACAGCTTCTAAAAGAGCTCTCGATCTCGATCACTTGCCTTGTTTCGACCATCATTTTGAGAAAACGCTTGGCTGCTTGCTATAGATGATAGTGGTCCTTTCCGGGTCTTGGCTCGTCACATGAGCCTTATGAGATAGGAAACTGTCAACTTCGTTTAGATCACCCCATCTTTTGCTACCTTTTTCAGTAAGGGATAATTAAACAAATGGTCAATGAACTTTTAATTTATTCAATATAATTCCTGAACTTTAGTCTGATGTATAATATCATCTTTGAATTTTTAATTTATTTAATATGATATCTGAATTTTTTGTACATGTTCAACTTAGTACCTAGACTATCTGAAAATATTCAATATTGTCCATGAACTTGAATTAACAAAAAGACAACATTGAATATTTTCATATAGTCTAGGGACTAAATTGAATATGTACAAAAAATTTAGGGACCGCATTAACCAAACTAAAAGTTCCGGAACGACGATGTATATTGAGCTAAAATTCGAGGACTACATTGAACAAATTAAAAATTTAATGACGATACTATACGTTGGGCTAAAGTTCATGAACTATTTGTATCATTTTCCCTTTCAGCAAGTATATGTAAATTTCGAAGTCCTTAAAGATTGTCAAAGCTTGTACCACGTAAATGGGCCGAAACCAAAATGGGCCCAATAATAAGTCAGCTCATGCGGAAGCCCAAGCCCAAGAAGTTGAAAGTGCTAATCTTTCCACTAACCTCGTTTCCTATCGTCTCTCCGGACACGAGAACTCCAGTTTTAGTCGGTGTCGCGTACGAGTCTGTCTGCTTACCGATTTATGATTTTCGGTCTGCTCATCGAAATCTAGGGTTTGGCATAGGGACAGAGAAAGCCCCAATCCGAAATTCTTTCTGCCCTTTTCCTTCTCTCCTTTGTCTTTTTCCTTCCATCAGTTCACACCCTTGTACGGAAGCCAAATTCCAGTAAACCCTAAAAAAGCCCTAGGGTTTATAGCTAATCCTCATTCGCCCCTGTTGGATTCTTGGTTTTTCCGAATAGATTGGGGATCCCTCGGAAAAACCACGTTTTTGAGGGAGGCACTTTTCGTTGGGTTTTTATGAGTGCAGACTGTGTCGATGGCTTCGGAGCTGATGGGAGATGAGGACTCGAGGGAGAAGCAGCGAAAGAGGGCAGACGGCAACAAAGTCTACTCCCGCAAGAGACCCGGCACTCAGTCCTCGCAGACCCGGGCTGTGGCGACGGAGAACAGGAACTCGTTGATCCCGCAGGCGGGCTCTCAATCTGAGGATGCGGTGGCGTCCGATGATTCGTCGAGCCGGAGTTTGGAGCGGGCGAGCTTGTCGAAGGTGCGTGAATTAGCAAACGGTAGCTCGACGCCCGGTTACGCTTTGTTTGGTCGTAGCGTTCGGATTAGTGTTGATTCAAGATCGAAACTTGAGATTAGGGAGCTTAAGAGAAAGCTAATGAGAGAGCTTGATCAAGTTAAGAACTTGCTGAAGAGACTTGAAGCTAAGGAGATCCAAGTTAACGGTTATTTGGCGAGCGATGGTGTTGGTAAGGCCGGGACCTTAATGCGTGTAAACTCCGAAGTGGGTTCTGTGGGCGTACCAGTTTCGCGACCCTTTCAAGGTCACGGTGTTTCCATGGCTGATAGCAATAATGGTGTTGGTAGTGAGATTCTAGGGAAAGATAGAAGAAACACTAAGGTGAATCAGCTTCATCCGCATTCAGAATCGGTCGCTCGTAAGGACAAGGTCCGACCACAGGAGAGTAACAAGAAGATGAAAAAATCAAACGGAACGATTGATGATAGGGGCCCGAGTTTTGGGCTGGATAAGCATTCCGGTCAATTGTTTAAGAGTTGTGACAGTTTGTTGTCTGGATTAATGAAGCACAAATATGGGTGGGTTTTTAATACGCCGGTGGATCCTAAAAAGCTTGGGTTGCATGACTACTTCACCATCATTAAGCATCCAATGGATTTGGGTACTGTGAAGTCTAGGTTGAATAAGAACTGGTACAAGTCACCCACAGAGTTTGCAGAGGATGTGAGATTAACATTTCATAATGCGATGCTGTACAATCCTAAAGGTCAGGATGTTCACTTCATGGCTGAGACGTTGCTGAAGATATTCGAAGATGGGTGGAAGGTCATAGAGAAGGAGAATAATCTTGATCATAGACACGATATGAGTTTGCCAACACATAATTCCAAAAAGGCTCCTGCTCCTGCTCTCGTAGCTCCGCCAGCATCGTCAGTATGTCCTGATGCGAAAACGTTGGATAAATCAGAGTCTAGGGCATTGCCAGTGGATTCTAGGACTAAGTCTGCCATTTCCGGACATCCAGGTAAGAAGCCAGTTCCCAAGAATCCTGAAGCCCAGGGTTTTCACAAGAGGGATATGACATATGAGGAGAAGCAAAGGCTTAGTGAAGACCTCCAAACTTTGCCATCAGAAAAGTTGGAGGATGTTGTTCAGATAATAAAGAAGAGGAATCCTCATCTATTTCAACAGGAGGATGAGATTGAAGTCGATATTGACAGTGTTGATTCTGACACTCTTTGGGAGCTTGATAACTTTGTGCATAATCATAAAAAAGGCCTCACCAAGAACAACAGGAAGGGCGAGGTTCCTCAAGCTGGAAATGATGTGGCAGAGATGGTAGAATTACAACCTTTTCGATTTTGATTTCCTCCCCTCTCTTTCTCAAAGTTTTGTTGGTGCTGATCAGGTATTGATTTCATCTAATGCAGGATGAGGTCCTAGTCATTGAGGAGGCACCAACAGAGAACATGGCAGGTGACAACTACGGAATGTTGAAAAAGGAATACTTATGATTCACATTTTAGATGCTGCCTTTGATATTCACGTGCACTATTTTTTTCGATGACTGTTGGATGTAGGCGCAGCTGAAAAAAATGCAGTCGCATCTTCACCACCTCTATTAGAAAAGCAAGGTGCTAACTCGAGTGAATCAAGTAGTTCAAGCGGTTCAAGTAGTGACTCTGGATCTTCTTCAAGTGGTAATAATCCAGCTTCCCTGTCTATCCACCAGCCAGTCTTTCATCTAGGGCTTGAATGTTGATTGATTTCCTGATGTTGCTTGTGCAGATTCTGACAGTGATAGGTCCTCTTCGTAATATCAGCTACTTGTGACATGTATTCGATTTAGTTTAATCAAGGTAGGCACAATCTTTGGTCTTGTCTAGTTATTAAATTACATCATTTTGTTGCTCTCTGCATTATGATCATGCGACCATTGCTCATACACATTTTTTGGCAGTTTCCTTGTGCATAGTTCATATAACCACAGAATGATTCTTGTTGCCCTTGGGAGATGCGGCTGTGGCTTTTGCACTGTTATCTCTTAGAGCTGAGCTGACTTCATACTGGAAGTAGGAAGCAATCTACATCGATGAATTGTTATCAGAGATCATAGTTCTATTAGTGGTGCAAAGCGTGGTTTACAAAATTGGTTTAAACGGGTATCTAATAAGCGGAACGTATTCAAGGAACCCAGTAAGATTTTGTCATAACAATTTTTTTGAGCGAGTCTTTAACCCCCGTTATTATTCCTCAGTAGAAGGGATCAAATTGGATGATCATTTCTTTTCTCAATTTCAATGATGATGATTGCACTCTTGAGTGCCTCCCTATTTGAGCTGGTATCTTGAAGTTAGCATGCTTTTATCAGTTCGGATGCTGTTTCTTTTTCCTCTTTAAACACGACTTGTACTACCATCCTAGAATTTACATTCAGAATGGTGCCTGATTTTCACCTGAGCTACGTGATTTCTCAGTGGCATCACTCCGTCCTCAGGCATCTATTTTATTCTCGGTTTCTTTTACCTCACCTTCTTGCTCATGGAATTTTTAAACGTTCTCGGCAAATCCATTTATCTTAATCTCAGATCAATTTGTAATCCGATTTGGTGTGGAATGTGGCAGGTTACAAAGAAACCTCAGGTGAAGTTCTCCGAGTTCGTACCTCCTGAATTGCTACTTTTGGGTGTCATTTCCTTGCCATGAGAGGCCTTCTTTTTGTCCCTGTGGTTTCACGTATGTAAATACTTTGCTAGTCCTTGGGAGTTGGGAGGTGGCCGTGTTCGAAACATCATTAACTCATAATGCCATGAAAAACATTCTTTCTGACTCTTGTCTTAAACAATGTTACTTGTGCTGGATTTTTCCTTCAAATCTGGAAAGACAAGCTAGCCAAGCTTGAATTTTTACATATTTGTAAATGATGAACAACACTGGTCTTGTTGTCGGTGTTGGGTTGGGTTGGGCTGTCGGAGGTGGCCAACACTGGTTCTTTGTCGTCGGTGTCTCCATCGTCTGAGTTTTTTCCTTTGCTTTTTTCCAGAGATTTTCTCTTTTTTTTTTTTTTATATTTCGTCTACATTCAAATAGAGCCTATTTTTATACAAGTTTCATTTTTCATTTTTCTCCTCATTTTCTATTTCATTCAATCTAATCAAAGATATTCTTATTTTTTCATGTAATTGTAAATGGTGCCTTTTATATTTCATAGTCTATCCAATCATGTAGTGGACTTATATTATTCCTTTTCACTTTGATTTTATATTATTAATAGTCATTAAAATATTTGAAATCATATCCAACCATAACTAATTTTGCTTTGATATGATTCTATTTGTGGTTTATAATTAACTAATCCTCGCCTCATTAACATGGTGTGCCTAGAATAACCCGTTTCCGGCTAATTCCATGTTGTAATTTTTTATATGCACAAAATAGTATTTTGTAAATACCGCATGCAATATTATAAGATGGTAATCACGTAGC